CAAGTATGATAAGAACAAAACAAAACAATGAAGTCTTGTAGAAAGTACTTATGAAAAATTTAGACTATGGGAACGTGAACTTGATAAATTAGAAAGCCAGAAAACACTAGTTCCCTCTGGGTTTCCTTATCCTGCTTATCCCAAATCAGCCAATAATCCTAATGGCTGTAAATGGCTCTGTAAATGCCTGTTATTACGACCTCAAGCATGAGGACAGTTTCGGAGGAAGCTAAGCTAGACAAGATGTTTGGAGGTAGAAGTAACAATAATGTGACCATCTAGGAAGAATAAAAATGGAAGTTAGCAAGAAAACCCTAAATATAAATATGAATTCAGAGTACTTTAGACTTACTTGTTGAGCATCCACCAAGCACCTGGCATTCTGATGGGCTGTAGAAAAATTCCCCCAAAAGTTTAAGACACAGTTCCTGTACTTAGGGAGGAAGTTGTTGGCACAGATTCTAAGGGGCTTAGCAGTTTGGGGAGGGTTTGAATGAGGTGAAAAAGGCTGTTCCGAACAAAGATGGGAACGGCCTGATTGAAAGGCTTTGCTACAACCAGCCAGTGCACACCAGGAAAGTGGGAAAGAGCTGGACTTTGAATCTTAGCATTAGACAAAAGAATAACAATTTTGTTCTTTTGAAAAAGCCAATAATATGTTTTACTGACCCCACAGTTAAGTTTCTGTCTAGCTAATGAAAATAATTTACCTAAATAATTTGTGAAATATAGTCATCCAACTTTTTTTTAAAGGGAACGTGTAGTATTTCCAAACAGGGAAATGACAAAGAATTGGCTTTAGATATATAAAATGCCAGAACAGCAAGAGCCCCAAAGAACGTAGGCAGAAGTGTTGGGGGGGATTAATACACAGTGAGAGTGCGTGTGTATGTACTTCTGTGATACACGTACATACTCAGGGCTGGCCTGTGTATCTGAATTCACCTCTCTGGATTCAACCAGCTGCTGATGGAAAATATGGGGGAAAAGTTATTCTGTACTGAATATGTACAGACTTTTTTTGGTCAGCAGTCCCTAAACAATATAGTATAATAGCTATTTACATAACATTTACATTGTGTTAGGTACTATGAGTAATTTAGAGATGATTTAAAGTATATGGGGAACACCAGGTACATTGCCGCAAGATTGTACTCCCAGGTACTCATGAGGTTGAAGCAGGAGAGTTGTTTGAGCCTGGGAGTTTGAGGCTAGCATAAGTTACATAGTGAGACCCTTTCTTGTAAAAAAGAAATTAAAATATAATAAAGTACACGGCTGACAGGGTAGGTTACAGTGGACCCTTGACTTATGAACTCAGTCTGTTCCCCAGTGCTGGTTGTAACTCATGCTGTTGATTGAGAGGGGCTCAGGCTCCTCCTCTGCACAGCCTTCGAAGTCTCTCCTGTGTACAGGCAGATCTCAGTGTCCTCCGAGAGATACTGGCCCAGGATTTCTCAGTCACCTACACAGGAAAGGATATTGTAACTTCCTTAGGTTAAATCTGTATCTGAAACCTTCTAGATGCACAAACGGCTGGTGTTCAGGTCATAACTCAAGACTTGGTCATCAGTTAAAACTAATATTCCAGTCATAACCCAAGTTACTCATATGTCAGGCTGGCTATCACTCAAGGGCCCACTGTCTATGCAAATACTACGCCATTTTATGTAAGGGACTTAGATTTTGGCATCCACAGCAGGTTCCTAGAGCCAGTACCCACAGATACTGAGAAGTGACTATATTTCTTCATACAACAAACTTATATATTTATGTATATTATTCATCAAGTACAGTCTTTGAGGAAGGTGTGTTACCCTCAGTATAAAAGTATAGAAGGAAAAAGGTTACATGAAGTGCTTAGTGTTGCAACTAAAAGAAGTAAAAGTCAACATTAAGTTGCATATAAAAAACAGCTGTTTCCTAAGTGTTCTGTACAATTAGAGTTTGTAAACTGTCCTCAAGGATACCTGAGAAAAGCACAGACTGAAAGTATTAAATCACTGCCTCTGCTCAGGAACACAATCATTGTAATTGACTCAAGCCTGGCCTGGCCAGCGTTCTCTCCCAGGCTTAGCTGAGAAGGAGCCCTTCTGAGGTTGGTAGCTTGGTTGTTGGGCTAAGACCTCCCTGAGGTGGTCATGTGTGGATCTGTGCATAGAGTATTTCATAATGTGGCAGAAATGCATCATATAACCTAGTTACTGAAGAGTCAGCCCGTTGCATTTGTTGTACCCTCCTCATTAGAACCAAGGAGAGCCCTACACGGGGGGCCGAACCCTGGTGGTGGATCACTGGGAGCTGTGTCCATACGACCTGCCATGCAGCCCAACACTGGGAAGCCAGATTTGGGACCAAGCTATTTGGGACCCCTTGGCTTTCCTTTTCAGCTCACTGTTGGGCTGCTGCCTGATTTTTTCAGCACCTCTCTGTGGTAGACCTACCCTCTCCCAACACTTGCCAGTGCAGTTCAGGTGAAGGTCATGCATTTACCATGCCTGCAGGTTCTTTCCTGGGCAGAGTGTGGCTTGTGTGGATTACTGTGCTCAGTGCAAGACATTACTGTATGAACCATAGGGTAGAATCAGATCAAAAGGTGCGTGTGGCTGTTTCAGTGTGCATTAGCAAATAAGTAAGAAACAGTGCAGCTTTGGTTTTTTTTTTTTTTTTCCAGTACCGGGAATGGAACTCACGACCTGTGCTTGCCAGGCAGGCACTGTGCCGCTGAGCTAAATCCCCAGTCCCTGAAACAATGCATCTTTAACAAGAATGTTCTCCCAACAGTGCTCTGCTCAACTGGTTGTCAAAAACCATCTCCCATGAATGTCTGTTTATAAAAAGCTTTCTCCAGTTTCTCTAGAACCTAAGTTCATGATTTCTAGGCCATTTACCCCAAAGTAAGCCAACCTGAAATATACCTGAATTTTTCACGAGCTTTTTACTTTGCTTGAGTAAATTGTTCCCCAGCCCAAAACACAGGAGTAATTTCTCTGGAAGTAGATTCTGAACTACTGACAAAGGTGATAGATACTCCTTGTTTGTGCTTCCCGCTCTCCCTGAGGCCCACAGCATTGCTTGCCTACTCTGTAGACTGAATATAAAATTGTTTAATCTCCAGCAAGAATGGAAATTCTAAAATGACCAAGTCCTCCCGTTGGGAAAGACTGTCGTAGATTTTAATCTGCCTGATTTTCCCCAGACATCGTCATAGATGAGCAGGGAGAGGGGACAGTAAGCTGGCATGGGCCACCAAGAGAAGAGCCAGCAGAGGGCAAAGCTGCGCCCTGCTTTGGGCAGTGGCGAGTGTCCCTCATGACCCTTCCTGCTTTCCAGCCACCCCAACGGTAGCCTTCCAGCTTTGGTGTAAGGTCAAGAAATCCTGCTTCAGCCCAACCCAAAACATGAAGTCTTTATTTTCTGTAAGGGGCAGCCTGAGCAGGCCAGGCCCTGGTGTCCTGATCCTGAGAAATTATAGCAGGAAGTAAAGCAGGAGTCGCTCGGGTTCCTCCTTGAGACCCGCTAGAGCGTGTGCAGGTATTCAGGTTCACAACTTTTGCAGTGATCGAGGTGATCACTCCCATTGGCAGTCTGCCGCGACGTTGCTGGACAGTACCTGGACCCCTGGGACGGCCTGCCTACAAGCACTGGGACAGAGAACCTGCAAACCTTTATTCAGTGTCTCCTCTCATGCACTGTACTGTTTACCCCCTACAGAAAAACTGTTAAGGAAGCTAACTTTCTCCCCTTTTTACAAAGGAAGAAATCGAGGCCCAGAGGTAAAGAGGTTTGTGTGTCTATAAATCCTGTTTTTCCATCATGTCACAGTGCCCCTGAGAAAAACCTCTCCTTCCTCAAAGCAGCAAGGTGTAGGGCTTGTATGCTGTAGGGCATTGCAAGAGCTCAGTGTGTAATACTCCGGAGGAAGCAGGACCACATAAGGAGGACCTCATAATAAAGTCACACAGAGTCTTGGATGTCACCCTGAGTATGGTGGTGAGCCATTAAAGTGCAGAGGACGAGGAAGAGCCCTGGGCAGCAGTTCGGTGTATTTTAAGAGAGAGAGGAGAGGCTAATGCACACATGCAGTTCACCAGAAGTACTCTGACTTCTACTGCACAAGGAATCTCAGGGAGGTCCCACTTCCAGATTATTCCCATACTTTTAGAGCAAATGGTAAAATGTTTTTCCGGTGACGCTTTATTTGTTTGTTTAAAGGAAATTTCTGGTGCTGTCTGAAAGGTCTATGTTAAACCCAGTCCTTTTCCCCAGCCCATTAGTAAAGTTCATTTCATTTATTGTTTGTTAACAGGGAAGAGAATATGAAATGTTAAATAAAAATGCTCAGACTGAGGTGTAGCTCAGAGATGAAGCATTTTTCTAGCATGCATGAGGCCCTGCCTTGATCCCCAGCATCAAAAAAAAAAAGTTCAAATAGAAATGCTGTGGAGTAACTGTTAAGGCAGTAGCTTAGTTAATATTGAAAAGTCTTTAAAGAAATGAAAATCCTGCATCATGAAGTACTCAACAAAGAAAGTGGTAAAGGAGGAGTAGAGGAGCAAAAGACATAAGACATACAGAAAACAGACCTGCAGTCGGCAGACATAATCCCACGGTGTCAGTAACACAATGAAATGTGAATGGACTAAAAGGTCCAATCAGATGGCAGTGATTATCAGACTGGATTTGAAAACAATTCTAGCTGTATGCTGGATAAACAAGACAAAGAATAGAAAGACAGTAGAAAAATCAGTGAAATCAAAGGTAGTTTAAAAACGAACAAAATCAACAAACCCTTAGTGAGATCCACAAGAAAAAAAACTCAAATAACTAGAATCAAATGCAAGTGCTAGCCTTACAGAAATAGAAATAATTTTTAAAAATCCTGTAAACAGTCACATGCCAGAAAACTTGACCAACTTAAAGTGCACACGTGACCAGGAAGGGAAGCTGTTCTGTGAAGGAACATTCACCTAGGCATTGACACTCTGGTGTGTTTACAGGCTGCTGCCTTCTCCTCTTAAGGATGCAGTGGAAGTGTCAACCTGGAGAAGATGCTATACCATGCAGGAGGTGAACTCCGCCCTTAGTAAAATCCAACTGGTGGGATATTCTCAGAAAATTGTGAGTGTTACTGTGTCTTTGTACATGATTCATGAACACTTTCAGCTGTATTTTGGAGAATGCTGTGGTTCCCTTCCGTGAGCCATTCTGTCGCTGAGAATCTTGTGCAAGGGAAAAAGTATCTGCCATTTTCCATCCAACCCTCCCAGGTTTCTGTTGGTGCTCGTGTCTAGTCCTTACAGTCCCTGTCACCAGCAGGCGTTCAATGGGCCGGCAGGTAAGGAGTCAGGAGAAGGACACCTGTTCATCCTATCGTGGGAGCACAGCATTTGGCAGTTTCCTGTGCTGGGATGAGAGAAGCAGGAAATGGAGAAGCATTTGGCAAAAATGACTTCTGAGCTCCGACCTAAACGATCAGAGTTCCTGAGTCTTCTCTTAGCCTGTGCCCAGAGCCATTCTGCATAGCATCCCTAGCCTAAAACAGAAAAGGAGAACCAAAGTATTGAGTCCTTGTTCTGTCTGGTGGTGTCACCTCTACCTTTTAGTGAGCGAGTATTTAGTGCCTGGTTACCGCAGATGGGCTGAAACTTTGAGGTGACAGGTAAAGACCATGGGATTGCTTTCTGTATCCATCACGCGTTCTCCATAGTCTATGTGTGTCATTGTAGTCTTCCTGGTTTACTTTAAAGTCACTGTTTCTGAACTGAGAAGGATATTGCTGTTGTTTTTCCTGCAAACCTCCCTGCTCTGAATGCACTGTGAAAACTCTCGTGTTCTTTGTGTGATTCTCTTTAGGAGCTTTTTGGTGCGGTCCAGGTGACTCCTCTGAGCTCTGGCTATGCCCTTGGAAGCTCCAACTGGATCATCCAGTCCCATTATGAGAAAGTTTCTTACGTCTCTGGATCTTCCTTGCTTACCACACACCCTCAGGTAATGACAAATTTTCTTTAACAGCTCAGCTTTGTGGTTACTTAATCCAGTCAGAATGTTTGCAGTGTACTATTGGCCATTTTTTGATCTTCCTCATTTTGGTTTCTTCAGATACTGTAGGAAAGTTAAACTATTCAAGTCCTAGGACTGCCTTCTCCTCTGAAAGAATTCTGCGACCTTTAGGGCCACCGCCAGGATTTTGAGTTCCTGCAGTCCCACTAAAGACCATACAGAGGGCTGTTCATGTACTCGGTGCACGTGAACTATCGAATCTTACCAGCATTTATCTAAGGGAAGGACTAAGCAGCACGAGGGACCAGGCGAAGTCTGCTCATGAATCCTTTGTTCAGTTGACGTGTGGGAGAGGGTGGTGAGCAGGACATAAGTGAGTAAATGAACGAGCAGGGTCGTTTCAGGTGGTACAAGTGCGACTCAGAACAGTAGAGCAGCGCATGGCTAGAGTGACGGAGACTCGTTGAGAGTGCGTGGTCAGGGAGGCCGCTGGAGCTGTCATCTCACCCGAGCCCAGAGGAGTGAGCTGTGAGGCCGAGAGGGCGCAGCACTCAGAGATGGCGGTGACAGCCCCGGAGCTGCACGAGCTGGGCGAAGGCCACCGTGATCGGAGCACGCTGTGGGTGGTGGGGAGCGGCCCGGGACAGCAGCAGAGGCCAGGTCAGGTGGGGCTCAGTGGGCCACGAGGAGAAATTTAGGCCGTGTTAATATGTAGAAGGAAACCAGCGGTAGTCATTCCTTAGAGCCATACTTGGCAAGAAGCTCAGTGTACGGACGTTACTGTGAGTATAGTTTTTAATCCTTTTTTGGGTACTTATGAAGTACTGCATTGGTATTCTTTATTTCATAAATCCTCATTCTTTCTATGTGTGTAAGGCAGCGGGGGAGTTTAGGTAGCTAATTAATGGGTAGGTAGATATATAGATAACTTGTGGAAGCCCACATCCTATTTTATTTATAAAATTTGATTATTTGTGAACATAACATTAAGAATTTATTGTCTTCGTAGCAGAAAGTAAAGCTTAGAACTGGATCCCATGGCCCTTTCTTCTCAAATCGTCTCCTAGTTCAAAACACTTGCCCCTCTTAATCGGCAGCCTTCTCTCAGACCCGCAGCCGGGCTCAGCTCACTCAGCCTCAGCACCGTCTTCTGTGCAGTTTCAGCCTTTTTCCAGAAAAGAGACTTGGTCTGTCCAGGCAGCCACCCTCCTTCCTGTCATAGATCTGCTTCCCCCAGGCACAAAGAGAAGATCCTTACCCCTGGACTTAACCGTATAACTTTACAGGTCAGTGCTTGCCGCACTTCTTACAGAAAGCCCATACCATCTCTCTGAAGTTTAAGAAACATTCACTTTGATTGAGGGAGTGTCCCTGGTTCAGAAGGAGAAAACTTTAACTGACAGAAAGGGTATATATTTATGATGTACAATGTGATATTTTGGTCTAGGTATATGTTGTAGAAGGGCTAAATCAAGCTAGTTAACACATCCCACTTTAATATGGGAAAAAGAATGCTGTGTTCTGATGTGAGACAATAGAATGCCTCTCGGCTGCCATTCTGAATATTTTTTTCATACTTTCTTTCTTATTATTCTTTCTATACCTTTCATACCTTCTTTTATAACCAAGTTTTATCTCAAGGTCTAGGAGGGACACATTGCTGGTTTTTTCCTGTAGCTAGCAAAATCCTGAGCCTTTTTACTTATTGAAATCAAAAGCCTGTCAATGTCATCATAATCTGTCTCACTGAATCAGAATTTTTTATTGGCAACTTCTCTCATCCTCGATATATTCTTCCATAAAAGACAGAAAGATGACTTGGCTGCCAACTCTTCCAATTTATCCTGCTTATATCAAAGCCTTTACAGAACTATTGATGTAATTTCCAGTAAATTAGTCTTACAAGGTCCATAAATTCAAAGGGAAAATAAGGTCTTGAAAGTAATGAGCAACATACCTACATAATTAATTTTAATTTCTAGCTGGCAACCTATGTAATAATGTAAAAAAGAGAAAATTAGATTTTTCTTTACCCATATGATTGGATTCTATATTCAGTTAGCATAGGTAAGAAAAGTTTTGGCTTGGAAAATTAGATTGTCCACCGTAGAGGCCAGCAAACTGTGGCCTGGTACTCTACTTAGCCCTCAACCTGTTCTTATAAATAATCTTTTGTTGGACCACAGCCACAGCCATTTGTTTGTGTATTACTGATGGCTGCATACCTCTTGTAATGGCAGAGCTCTACTTTAAAGTCACACTTTACAGAAAAGGTTGCTAACTCTGACCCACTTAAATAGAACTCATACTAGCAAGGAATGTTGTTGTTATCTTTGACTAAGCCTGGATTGTTTCTGTCATTTAACTGTGTTAAATATTTGATGTGTAGTGCTTTGTCATTCGTCTCTTAAGTAGATTATAATTTTCATTACTTAAATGATCAAAGGTTATTTACAGTATTTTTTTAAATTTCTGATCCATTCAGTCATCCAATTTAGACAGAGGTTTAGATAGAATTTTCCATTTTATTCACACATAATACATAATGATGAAATTCATTGTGATATCTCCATGTATCCATACCACGTGCACTGATCATATCCAGCTCCTTTTCCCAGCCCTTGTAGTCGGTATTGCAGGTGGACTTGTTAATTTTGAGGTTCCATATATAAGGGAGAATGTGATACATGTCTTGCTGTTCCATGGCTCATTTCATTTACCACGATGTCTCTACACATTTTGCTGCAAATGGCTAGATTCCATTTTCTTTAGGGCTGGAAAGCCTTCCAGTGTGTGCATGTACTCCGCATTTTCTCTCTCCATTCGTTAGTGGGCGCTAGGCTGATTCCGCATCTGGCTGTTGTGAATGGAGCCACAGGAAAGAGGGCATGCACGTATCTCTGCTGTATGCTGGACTCATTCCCTTTGGATAACAGAGTTCAGGGGATCCTCCTGTCGGTTTATTTCCTGAGGTCTTGAAGACCATGGCACTAATAAATGTGGATTCTTCCCTTAAATCTAAAGAAAGTATCTTAAATTTGGATTCTTTTTTTTTTTCAAGAGAAAAATCTAAAATTTCAAAGTACAATGATAGGAAGGTAACAATAGTTAATACGTTGCATATTATCTTTAAATTAGTTACTGAGAGTATAAGATATTAGCATTTAATTGTCTGAGCAATATTAGCACAAACCTTTCTTTTCAGTGAACTGAGAGAAATTAGTTGTATAACTATCTTCAACTCTCTTTTATATATATTTTTTTCTTTTTGCTTTTCCCTTCTTTTCTCCATTCCCTCAACCCAGTTTCTCTTTTCTTCTGAAGTTTCTTCCCATTGGCCAATATCTATTGTACATCTTGTATCTTATTCACTCTTTCAGCTTTTCACATTAGGGAGACAATACGATGTTAACACACATGCATCTGGTTTATTTCACTTGTGAGTATGGTCTCAAGTTGCATCTATTTACCTATAAAAGTCTCTAGTTTATTCTTTTTTATGGCTGAGTAATACTCCATTATATAAAAAGACCACATCTTTTTTATCCATTCCTCGGTTATAGACATTTGGGTTATTTCTAAGATGTAGCTATTACAATTTGTGCTAACACTTGGGAGGCTGAGGCAGGAGGATTGCCACGAGTTCAGCCTGGACTATGTAGTGAGTTCAAGGCCAGCCTCAATTATAGAGTGAGACCTTGTCTCAAAAAACAAAAAAAATTTAAATTAATTAATTAATGAATTGATCGATGTTGAAAAGCCAGAGTTTGATGTTGTGCTCCATGATGCCAACTGTATCTCTTCCTTTCTTTTATGAAAGAATTATAGATCGTTGAATCTAACGTTTTCTCTGGCTCCTTCTCTCTCTTTAAATAAATCTTGTGTTTTTAATGTGGGAAAAGGTACTAAGATAACTCCGCCTCATTGCTGGACTACTGCCTTTCTGTCTCCTAATTGTGGTGCACTTTCCCTGTGCACCTTGTTCAGCTTGTCTTGGACACCCCGATTGGCTCCTGTTCTCCCTCATGGGTCTGGTTGCACACTGAGGGAAGTCACTTTCTGGTTCTAAGTGACTGGCTTTGGGCCAGGCTTTCACCTTTTTTCTTTCTCTCACAGTACCTCTCAGCTGCATGAGACACTGCGACTGGTTTCCCGTGGTGATACTTCATGGTCTAAACTTCGGGGCATTTTTGTTGTTGCTGTTGTTAGTGTTTCCTCTTATTACTCTACTTGATCTTTTGCCACAGTATTGAGTGAAAGTATCAGAAGTTATCTTTTCCAGCCTCCACATTTTCAGAGAAGAAGGTTCTTCACTGCTTTACGTCCTTTCTTCTCTTTGTCCCTCTTCCCATTTATCTTGTGGTGTCCGTTAAGCCATGGTCCTAGGCCTGCCACTCTCCTCACTGCAAGGAGACTGACATCACTTGGATGAACACACCCAGCAGGTCTCCACGTACGGCATGCTCCACGGCGTCAGCATCACTCTCGGAATAAGTCCGTGTAGCTGTTCCTGGAGCCTTGCACCTTGCAGTGACCGTGGCATAGCCTCCTCAGAGGCCTCTTCGTCATGAAGCTTCCACCTTTCCCTTAGACTACACCGCTAATGAGGTTTGGAGGTCCTCTGAAGGTCTTGCCCTCTCCACGTCCTGTATGTCTAGTCCATTCCCAAATGTCTGTTGGTGTTTTCTGTGGGAGTGTGTAGGTCTGCCTCTTCCATCTCCTTAACCGCCATGCAGTTACAGTGTTTTCCCTTTATGTCTCAGCTGCTGTAGTGGCCTTAAAAATGCTCTGACTGCCAGGCATGGTGGTGCAGTCCTGTAATCCCAGCCCTCGGAGAGTCTAAAGCAGGAGTAGTACAAGTTCATATCCAGCCTGAGCAATTTAGCTAAGCAGAGTCTCAAAAGGAAAAAAATAAAAATAAAAAGGGCAGGGAACATAGCTCAACAGGAAGGTCCTAGATTTATTTTATCCTCAGTATGCCAAAAAAAACCAAGTTCTTCCTGATTTGGTCTCACCCTCAGCCTTTATCGTCTTCGGTAGTTACTGTCACTAGAGTGCTGTTCCCTGCCTCAGACTGTTGGTTTCTTAGTGCCCAGTTTATCGGTCTGCATGACTCTTGACTTTTTAAGCCCTTTGTCAATTGTACTTCCTCTCTTTACTAGTTTCTCAGCCCAACAGTGGGCTCTCCATTCAAGCCAAGTGGATCTATCTGGCCCCTACACCTTGCCTCCCTCTGCTCTCTGCCCTCCCACCCCTTCCCGAGGTGACTTGCTGTTCTCACCTGTCTGGCTTCTAGTGTTCCTCTTGCCAGTGGACGTGCTTGCACACTTCCTACCGTGTATTCTCTTATTTAGCCCATGTTTAGTATTTCTTGTATCACTTATTCAGCACATGTGTATTTAGTATTTGTTGTACGCCAGGCGTTTTGCCAGGCAACAAGAATACAAAGTCATTGGCCTGCAGCACCTTCACAGTCCTGTGGAGATGTGCACCAGGAATTAGGCGTTTAACCATTTGGTGTGATTATTGCTGAGACAGAAGGTAGTGGAGCCCTGGGACCACAGAGAGGAGGGACATCTTGGGAGGCCGTACATTTCGGGAGGTGAAGGAGAGGATGTCATAGAGATGTTCCAAAAGCAGTGAGTGAACGCTCTCTGGCCAAAGAAGAAACTAAAACGAAAACTTTCTCTGTGAAAAAGCCACCTATGAGTGGCCTCACCTGGGCCAGTGGAGTCCTCCTCTGCATTCTTTTTGACACTTACATGCACAGTTTAAGCTCTTTAACATTTGCTTTATATTTTCTATAGCTTTTTGAAAAATCTTTTTTTATTTTTATACATAAATGTCTTCTCCTCACCTAGATCATAATCTTTGCTTTAGTTACTTTCCTGACACTGTGACCCAATACCTGACACCCACAAGTTAAAGGAGGAGAGGTTTATTTTGACTCACAGTTTGTAGAATTTCGGTCCATAGTCGCTGGCAAGGTGGTAGAAGGGCGACTCAGTGAAGAAACAGCTCCTAGCAGGGCAGCAGGAAGCGGAGAGACCAGGGAAGAAGGAAGGAAGTAGACCCTTCCCAGCCACACCCCCAGTGACCCACCTCCTCTGACCAGGCTTCACATTCCAGCATCGCATTCAGCTATACATTCATGAGTGGACTGATCCACTGATGAGCATCGCACCCCCATGATCCAGTCACCTCCCCAAAGCCCGAGCTGTGAGCACATGATTTTGGGGGGTCAGCATCTAGTTGTAAACCGTGAGAGGCTTCAGACCGGGCCTTCTTTTTCTTCGATCTGTGTGAAATATGCATAAAAATTACTCATGGAGGGACCGCACAGTGGTTATGGTAGTCCTGGACTTAAGGTATTTCGTGACTCTATTGTATAAGCTCATTTGCAACTCTCAGTTTTGTAAGATGTTTTTACTTGATTTGTGAACAGGATGGATTTTTCTGTGTGTGTGTGCGTGTGTACAGAATGTTCCCATTTGAAGCAGTCTGTGAGTGGCTGTCAACACCAGTAACATATGCATTCGCCCTTTGCCTGGAGAGATGTCTGAGGTACAGCAGGCCTTTTATTTTTTATTTATTTATTTCGGGGGGTGCTACTGGGAATCAAACTTGGGACCTTGCACTTAGCAGGCAGGCGCTTGTGCCGCTGAGCTACGTCCCCAGCCCCCAGCAGGCCTTTTAAACTTGCTGCTGTATTTGGGAGTCCTGAGGCTGGCTCTGAGCTGCAGGCTAGAATTAGGAGCGTCCAGTCGAGCTGATGGGAGGGCTCCTGTCACTGCTCCGCTCGGGGGAGCACCCCCTCTGTCTGCGTGCATTGAGTTTTCAAAAGAAGATGCTGATGGCCGAAGTGCAGAGATAGTTAGGGCCAGAGTTTGTTCCTCATATATGTTGTAGTCATTCTTAACCTTTTTGGAGGTCGTGGGTCCTGTCTGGCAACCCCACTAATCTATGGAAAAATACACACAGTCACACACATGTACACCAGTTCAGAGGGCTAGTGGGTCCTGTGAAGTCTCCTGTCAACCTTTGGGCTTAGCAAGAGCTGTGTAAAACCTTTGCCATTTTACACTAAACATGTTACCCAACATGATTCTTTTTTCATTTTATGAGACAGGCACTATATAGTTCAAGTTGGTCCTGAATTCACTATGTAGCCCAAGCTGGCTTCGAACTCGTGGCAGTCCTGCCTCAGCCTCCATAGTGCTGGGATTACAGGCATGCACCACCACTCCTGCAACGTGTGGGCCTTTTTTATTCCCATTCTAGTTTTCTTCTGGTACACACAGGAAACAGTTCCAGGCTCATTAGATCATTATGCCATTAAGTTCTTGTAACTCCTCTTCCTCCTCTTCCTCTTCCTCTTCCTCCTCCTCCTCCTCTTCCCCAAACCACTGCTTTTCCTTGACAGTCTTTTCAGTAGAGCAGTTGTTCCCAACCTTTCTGGCACCAGAGATGGTTTCTCAAAGGGGATTTTTGCACGGACTGGGATGGGTGGTAGTTAGGATGATTCAATCATATTACATTTATTGTGCACTTTATTGCTATTATTACATTGTAATGTATAATGAAGTAATTGTTCAATTCACCATAATGCAGAACCAGTGGGAGCGCTGAGCTTGTTCTCCTGCAACTAGATGGCCCCTTTGGAGGTAATGGGAGACAGTGGCACCACAGTGTGTTGCTTCGGTGTCGACTCCACAGTCTCATTTTGGTTGCTGTCACTGCAGAAACTCTGCGTCACAAAAATGGGAAGTTAGAAATGGAGGCAGGTCTTTCAGTGCTTTTGTGGCAGTCACAGGAGATCTGCCTAACTTTAGTTCTGAATCTGTGGAAGTTTGACTTTGCCTTAAACATCCTTTTAAGGCCATTGTCATTTGTGATCTCAAGCACTTGATCCTGTTCCAGCATAGACAGAGTTGAGTCACCTGCCTTATTCACAGATGGGTCGCAGATGTATTCCTTCCCAGTTCAGGGGTCTGCTGTGGTTGGCATGTAATGCTCAGACTTTGAAGCTGAGATAGGTGACTCAGACTTGCTAGGAGAAAGAAGGCTCGGTCTCTGAAAATGTCTGCTACTGTTTGCAGCATGTCAAAGCCCCAGTGCTCACTTACTGCACGCACTTTATCTGTTGACTTGAACGCAGCGGCAGCCACTTTATCTGCTGACTTGAACACAGTTGTTGTTCTCCCCCGAAGTGATAGATCGGGTTCATTGAGCAGGTTCATTGAGTATATCACATACGTAAGCAAGTTTTGCAACCCTTTCTTTGTCACTGAAATGTGCTGCCAGTGGTGACTTTTTCTGACAGAAATCTCTGGAGCAGTTCTCATAATTCCAAAACTGTGGCCAATGATCTACCTTTAGAAAACCCTCCCACTTCTCTGTGTAACGGATGATATGAATGCTCTGCAACATCTCCTCACAGAGGGATATGAATACATGCATTAAAGACGTGTACTTTCATGTGGTTAAGTTTAATCACATCCTAAAAAAGTGTTACTTTAGGTGACATATTTCTGCCAAACAGTACTTCCGCGTAGGTGAAACAGTGTGTAGACTCATTTTGAGAAGTGACTTCTTTGCCCCAAGTAGGGAAACCAGAAGGCTGTCCAGTGTGGCAGCTGCTCAGCTCGTGCATTCACCACACAGAATGGCCAATGCGGTTATCGAAGACTTGACTGGCTCTGCAGCCGTGGCGTTGGTTGGCCACAGAATGCACATAGCATACCCTCGTCCGCATCTGACGGGGCGGAGCTCAGGTGGTGATGCCTGTGATGGAAGCAGCGAAGCTTTGCTCCCCCCCTCACCCCGCCACCTGCTGCGCAGTGAAGAGAGGGGATTCGGGACCCCTATAGGACACCAGAGTATGGGCTAGACGTACAAGAGCAGTGTCTGTGCACTGGTTCCTTCCCTCTTCGTAAATGACATTCCTTTTAGATTACCAAGTGAAGTTCTCTTGTTTTTCAGCCCATGGACCAAGCTTCTCTCAAAAACAGCGATGTTCTCGTTCTGACAGGGCTCACCCAGATCCCCACCGCAAACCCCGACGGCATGGTGGGAGAGTTCTGCAGCAACCTGGGTATGGAGCCTCTTGTGTCTGGAATTGGTGATACAGCTTGGATTTACTTTCCAGTTCCTTGCTTCTGTAGTATTCTTTGTCCCTTCCCCTTCATAGTCACACCCTCTGGTCCATCTGTCATCTGTCTGCCTGCCTCCCTCCACCCCAACCCCCGCCTCTCTCCCTCCCTTCTTCCCTCTTTGTGCTACTTGGGATTGACTTAAGGGCATTCACAGTGAGATACATCCCCAGCTCTTTTTTGAGACCATGTCTTGCCATAAATCTGGGCCTAAACTTGGGATCCTCCTGCTTCAGCTTCCTAGAGAGTTGGGATTACAGGTGTGCATTGTCATGCCCAGCTTCTGATGTCTCTTTTAAAGCCACCCTCCCAACATTTACTTCCACATTTTCTGTGCATTCTTCAAAGTCTGCTGTTGTCAGCAGGAACCATCTAACAATTTCCCACTGGCTTGTACTACTGGTGGTACATTCGTGACTGTCCCATTGGATGGTTTGTACCACTGGTGGTAGAAACAGATCTAATCACTTTTATTGGTCGTTTTAACTAACAAAATTAAAAAGCTGCCGGATAGGACAGTCATCCGTGTACCAGCAGTGGATCAAGCCACCGGGAAGCGAGACATGAATTACAGCCCCATGGTAAACATGTTAAATCTGAAAGGAAGGTAAAGAGTAGTTGTTTTAACAAATTAGAATTGTTAGGACATCAGAGAACAAATATTGAGCATTCTCCCACAGATGATTTGTATCTAATCCCCTTTTTGGTGGGATTTGGTAAGGAAAGACTGTTTATAGGGGAGCATTTGACAAAGAAGTGAAGAACGTCTTTGCTTTACAAGTCATAGCACAGAAAACATTATTAAATTGAGAGCCCTGTAGGGTGTCTTTTACTTGGAAGAAATTCATTTTCCTTTGGATATAATTGTCCATGAACTCTAGACATCCTGCCTTTGTCTTAGAAAAGTGGTTTGGTTACCGTCTTCATCAGTTCAGGCTGCTCTAATAACGTGTCATAGACCGGTGTGGCTCAGCAGTAGACATTTCTGTCTCACAGTTCTGGAGACTGAGAAGTCTGAGGTCTGAGTCCCACTTGCCATTCCTGGGGAAGGCCTCTTCTGACTTTCAGGTGACTCATGCCTTCCTGCTGTGTCCTCGCATGGAGAAGAGAGGCAGCTGCGGTCTCTTCCTTCTCTTTTTACAAGGGCACTTGTCTCGGTTACTTTTCTGTCGTTGCTAGGACAAAATACCTGACACCCAGAATTAAGGAAAGAAAGGTTTATTTAGCTCACAGTTTGCGGAGGTTTCAGTCCTTACTTGGCTGACTCCAAGGCAGGGCAGCACATGGCACAGGGCAATAGTTCATGGTGGCAGAAAACAGCAAGAGCTAAAAGGGAGAAGTAGCAGAGAACAAGCCTTTTTCGCTCCCTTACATTGTATGTAGGCTGCCTGCCCCAGGGCAGGTGTAGCACTCACACGCATAATCCCAGCATTGGACCATGAACCAATCATAAACTCTGGAAGCCCACCCCATGACTGCATGAGGCTTTGGAGGGACATCCAGACACAAACCATAACAGCACTCATCCCAGTTTGGGGCTCTACCCTCGTGACCCAAACCTAATTACCCCCCAAAGGCCCTACCTCCTGATATTGGTGCTTACAGGAACCATATATAAACTTTTGGGGAGGGGGACATAAACATTCAATTTGTAACAGTTATCCAAGAGAAGCTGATGAGCTCTCACCCTCCTGCTCTAGGAAGAAACAGTAGTCATCTTCTGTTGATGTGGAAGGCACTGTCCTTTGAAATTTCACTTAGCCGCACAAATTATCATAATCTGCTCTTGTTCTTTACCAAAATTAAGCCAATTATAATTTATTCTTTCTGTGAAAAAATGATGGAACTGGTCTCCAGTGGAGTCTTGGGTTTGTATGTTGCTTTATGATCTAAATCATAGACTCAAAGATTTGACAAAACCTTCCATCTAATCCACTGCCTGTCAGAGTGGGGCCATCTGCCCACCTGCCTCAAGATCAGTGAGACCACTTACTGAAATGCAGGTTTGGGGTCTCCCACTGACTAAGCTGGAACATCTGGGGAGAGGAGGACCGGAAGAGTGGTTGCATGCTCACCATGTGCCCTGGGTAATAAGTTGCACAAGCTAAAGCTTGAAAATTACAGATCTCATTCATTCCTTTCATATAACAGCTCATGAGGAAAATGCGGCCCAGCAAGGTTGTGGTGGCTTCCCTGTGGTCCTAGAGCTTGGGCACAGGCAGGGTTGGAGGCAGACCCATGAGCCATGACCACTAATGTTGATTTTTTTCCACTGTACCATGCTGTAATAATAGCAGTCACCAGTTCTCAAGTGACAGCATGAGTGAGCTACACGTCAGAGTAGGAGTGGAGAAGAAATAAGGCATCAGGAGCTCAGGTTCTGTACCTAAAAGCCTCTTGCATCCGTTTGTTTTGGAATCTAAACAAAAAGTAAACTGGAGTATGCACCTTGTTTGTTTTAGCCAGTCATACTTTTAATAATATTACAACCCATAAGTTACAGTTCTGCATTTAATAACTTAAGTATGACAGATTAAGCCAGATATAGTGATGTGTGCCTGTAACCCCAGCACTCTATGAGGCTGAGACAGGAGGATCACAAACTTGAGCCCAGCCTGGGCTTTGTAGCCACCCTATCTCAAAATGAAACATAAACAAAAGCCTTGGGATGTAGCCCCCTGAAAAGGCTCTGGGTTCAGTCCCCTTTACCACCAACAAATGAAATGTCAGAATTTTTTTATAAACTTTAAGAGAAAACGCAGTTAACAGTCAACAGAGAGCCTGACCTATGCTGATAGTTCATTCGCCGATCATCAAAGACCAGAGACAAATCCAGCACAATTTCGAACAGGGTCTAGAAAGACTTTGTAGATTCTGCCCTGAAGCTCACCTGACATTAGAGCCTTTAAAGCCCAACCCTTTGAGGACACTGTGTTCCCAGGGACTGAAGTGAAACAGCTCAGTCTCTAGATGCCCCCATTTGGCTGCGATTCTTCAGGGGAAGCAGTTTATTGAGCACATGGGTGAGTTGTGAGGACATAAGTGGGAAAAGAAAAGAAATGCAAAAAAAAAGAAATGCAAATGTCGGTTGTACAGTAGTCTCCTTTGCAACACTGTCCTTTGGTACTGTGTCTCCCCCTCTGGCTTCACATCTCTAGCTCTGACTGTCCGGAACGGAGGCAACGTGCTGGTCCCCTGCTACCCGTCTGGCGTGATCTACGACCTCCTGGAGTGCCTGTACCAGTACATTGACTCGGCCGGCCTCTCCAGCATCCCCTTCTACTTCATCTCCCCCGTGGCTAACAGCTCCCTGGAGTTCTCCCAGATTTTTGCTGAATGGTACGTCAGTGTTTTTCCCTGTGAGTTGAGTGCGATTCAGTACCTTCAAGCAGGAAGAATGAAAATAGTCCTGTTTTTTCTCATACTGCCATGAGACATTCATTTTATTGTGTTTCTGTGTCTATAATGAGAAGATTGTATTACTGAGAGTCAAGTCTGTTACACTGCTAGAGTCTGGAATTACAGTTACCGAGGAGGGCAAGATGGAAAAGGACTTAACTGGGGCCTGTACTATGAAAATTAGTAGCAGAAACGTTGTTTTCCGCCTGCTATAAAAAGTGACAGTCCATTCTAAAAGTTAAAAACCTTGAAGCCCAAGCCCATGTTGGCTAAAATATACTAAATTTTTTTATTTCAGTAAAACACTTGACAAAATTGTGTTTTTTATTTCAGAAATTTTTAAATAAGATTACTATGGAGAACAAATTATGAACAATAACAAGTCATTGAAATGTACAGTAGGTGTTGTAAAATGGGAAGCAACTGTTCAGAAGGAAAAAGAAAGTGGAATGGGGAAAGGAGAAAAGGAAAGGAAAAGCAAAATAAATATATATACAAAATAGTTAAGATAGTTATACTACTAATTTCTCTTAGTTCATTGAAAAGAAAGGTTTGTGCTATACTTTTTGGACAACTAAACACCTATATTGCGTACCCAGAGTAACTAATTTAAAAATAATGAAACTCAATGTATTAACCATTATTACTCTCCTATTATCTTGTTTTGAAATTTTGTTTCATTTTTTCTCTTTAAAATAAAAAAAAGAAGTCATTGAATCTTTTAAAGAAGATTTAAATACATGTTTGAATCTAACTCCCCTGCCCCTCCCAAGAAAGGCTAGAATACACACACACAGTATGTCACGTCCCTGCTAGCTGTGTGTCCAAGCTATAATACACACACACACAGGATGTCACGTCCCTGCTGGCTGTGTGGAAGCCAAGTGGGTATAACATTCAGGTTTCTCATTAAAAAAGGAATTTACACATTGTCATGCCATAACATATCCCAATAGCCTGGCCCAGGGCTTTTAAGTACATTTTTCCCCCTGTAATTGTCTTTTTCTGTATCGTGCCTCAAACAGGCCTCTCCGTCCATGTGCGTACCCTGATCTCTGCCCACAGAACCGTCGCTTGGAGATGGAACTCACCACTTCTCACCTTTGTGTGCAGGGTGTTTCCCTTGGGATAGCAAGGCAGTCTTGAATAAGTAGTGTTCTACTGAAGGATCACTTGCAGATTTAATGAGCAAGTCTTGACTTTCTTCATGCAGATCCTCAGGAAAAATATTACAAAAACCCCTCTAGCCCAGCCCTGTAGCCCTGGGGCGCGTCCTCTGGGCCTGTGGCTTCGCATCCAGCCTCACCCCTCGCTTGCTTGTCATCGTGTTGGAACAGCCTACTGGGTAGAACTCAGGACTGCTAGGCTGAGAGGATTAGAGGATGCTTGTGCTCTGTAGATACTTGTTTCTACTGTGTGTAACACAGAGCTATAGAAAAAAAATAAAGTTTTCAGAAACTGACAAAAAGAACTGAACCCCTAATTCCAGTCTTTAGAAATAACATCACTGTTAGCATTCTGATATATTTTTTCTATCTACAAAATAATCATGAATATTTAGTTTTGGCTCTGCTTTTAAGAAAATTAATTAGATTAAAGCATGATAAAATCTTTGAGACATAACTTTTATATGACTCCAGTATTTTATTATTCATATACATATAATTTAGTTTAGTATTTTCTTATTAAATATAATGACTTCTCGACTTTTTTTGCTTTTAGTAATAGGTCATCAATTAATATCATTCTGTGTATATAGCATGACATCTTTTGCTCTAGGTGAATTACAAAAAGTGGAATTACTGGAACAAAGGATATAAATATTTTTTAATGTTCATTATCTGAATCAAAATTGCTTTCCAGAAAGATTTTTATGTAAATTGTGCCTTTTCTGCCCATTACTTCTTAAAGGTTTTGTATTTCTCTTCTATATGTGATCCACTTATATATATATCAAAGGTATAACTTGCTTATAACTCTACATACTTTACCCCATTTTGACACTTCCCTGAATTTTTTTGATATTTTTAAATAATAATAAACAGTACTTTGGAATAACTTTAAATTTTCAGGAAAGTATAAATATGAACAGTCCTTTCGTTAGGTTTCCCCTAATGCTAACATCTCACGTGGCCACGGACATTTGTCAAAATTAAGAAATTAACATGAGTACATGCAACTAGTGCCAGACTTTATTCTGACTGCACTCATGTTTGAGTTCTAGAGTTTCAGAGTTTCCTGTTTCAGGATCCACTCCAGGTTGGACAGTGCAGTTAGCACATTGATTCTTCTTTTTTTCTTTCTTTCTTACTGTCTTTCTTTCTTTCTTTCTTTCTTTTTCTTTCTCTCTCTCTTCCTTCCTTCCTTCCTTCCTTCCTTCCTTCCTTCCTTCCTTCCTTCCTTTCTTCCTTTCCTTTCTTCCTCAAAGAAGTGTTTTAGTTTTAGGCTCTTCCACTATTTTGTTATTTCCTCCATCGTATTACGTTTTGAATGTTCCCTTATTGATGTCACATGGTAAAACATTGTATTTCAGTTTTATTGTATTTTCTTTCTTATTTTCTTCTGTTTTGCCTCCCCCTGCCCTTAACTAGTTTATCTGGAATTCGTTTAGCATGAGAGAATCATTAACTTCATTTTTTCCAAATAGCCAAGTAATTACATATCCATGTACTATTTATTGGATAACCTTAACTTTTCTGCTGATTTGCATTGATTTCATGCTCTAAACTTTGGTGTGTACTGGGTTTTATTCTGGGACTACTGTGTTACTCTTTTCTGTGGCCAAGGAGTGGGCCAGTATATTTTAATAACCATAGTTGCATTTAGAATTGCATTCTGTGGCAAAGTATATTTCTCTCTTGATTTTCCTAGTCAGAATTCTTTGAAGTAGTATTGCTTGATAATTCTTTAATGGCAACCATAGGATCACTTTACTGATCTCTAGAATATCGTTTTTGAGTGCATATGTCCTGCAAGCTACAAATTGACATCTTTATGGTGCTCTTTCCAGGCAGAGACAGGAGAGGTGTCTGTCTTTTAAACTTTCTCAGTATCTCTCCCTTGGACTTTTAAACTTGGTGATCATGTAACACTTCCTGTTTGTATCTGTCCTTTTATTTAGTTCGGTCCATAAACATCTGATAAATGCCGTCCTGTGTAGAGCTCCGGGGATCCTGAGGGATCTCTGACCTTGAGGAATGTGAGCCACAGAGAAAGACACAGTCATGTAAATCTGCCACTCTGAGTCCATCTGAGGGCGATACGTGCACACGTAGGCACATACATACCTACATACAAGTGTATGTATGCTGTTCGGAGAAGCCAGAGCACCCCAGGCTGGGATTCAAGAAAGGCTGCCTGGAAGGAAGTGCTGCTGGAGAACACCAGCCAGACAGAAAACCTGTGAGGACGAGCTGGGTGGGCTGGTAGGGCTGGTAGGGACGGTAGTGTGGGGTGAGTGGGTAACGTGCGCCAAGATGCACGTGGAAGGCGTGAAGGGTATGGTTTGTTCAGAGAACTGTCCGTAGTTCATTGTAGTTCATCGAGAACTCTCGGAGTGTTGAAGCGTGGGGAACAACAGAATAGGAAGCTAGAGAAATCTCAGCATTGGGGGCTCGCTGGAAGACTTTGAACAGATTAACTTGATTCCTTTGTATTGTACATAGATATTCCTGCAGTGATGTGCCGTTTCTGAGGGGTGGAAGGAGCGCGGCTGAAATGCAAGGCTGAGAAAGCTAGGACTCCCTTGTGTGTTACCCTGCAGACACGCGCGGCAGGCATGTATTTGAGAGGTGACTGCAAATAAAACTGGGCAGGACTTACTGGTTTCTTGGCCCAGAAAAGTTAGCAGCCAAGATCGACACCAAATTTGCTAGTGTGGTGGTCAGTGGTGACCGCAATAAACTGGGTCCTGCCAGAGCAGGGGCAGGCTCACAGAGCAAGGATGACTGGTTTGGCCCTTAAAGCACTCGTGGCAGCTAAGGGAAGGGCAGGGGCGAAGCGTCGCCAGCCCGGACAGCTGGGGGTGCAGGTTGCGGGGGAGGGGAGTGAGAAGGTTTGCGTGTAACTCAGTTGAGTTACACAGTGTATTCTGAAAGAAAAAAGAGTTACATAAGTTCTCCATGTGAGCCCCTGTCCCGACCTCACACTGTAAGGTCCACTTCTGGGGAGCCCTTGGAGCCGCGCCCTCCATCTCTGAGAAGCAGGAGCTCCTGCGCGGGGAAGTTGAGTGACCTGGGAAGCTGTAATGGGCCAGGTCTGATGTCACCAGTCTGTGGCAGCTGGGACTCTGAAATGCCCACCCAGGCCTTTCCCGCGTGGGTGGAGGCTAACAGCCACTGTCCTAGAAGGGTCTTCCCTGTCATGAAGGAGTTCATGCTCGCTGGTTTTGCACTCTCTGTCCCTGTGTAAGGAACGAACTGGGTTGTCTCAGTGACAGGTGCTGGCTTCAGACTTGGGCTCATTGAGTGATTGCTGTGCAGCTGGGTGAGGCCAGAACCACAGCCCACGCATGGGCATGGGCTTGCTCCCCTGCTGTTGCTCCCAGAGTCGCTCTGGCTGGGTGGCCGCACGTCTGCTTGCAGGCCTGATGCTGCCCAATCTCGGGGCTCTGCTCTGCACTCTGCGCTGCTCTGTGCTGCGGTGCACTCCCCTGCGCACCCCTGCGAACAGCCCTGCTTTGCCCTCTGCGAAAGAAGCCTGCCTGCCCCAGCGTCTGCCCCAGCTCCGGGCTAAGGACTCACGGCTTGTTTGGTAGGATGGGCTTGTTTTTCTGAGGACTGGAAATGGGAGAAGCGGCTCCCAAAGACATCTCTGATCTCTCACTCAGCAAGCAACGCCCTGAAGACTGTATGCCAGAGGCTCTCAGGCTCTCAATTAGACATGATTCTGGAAGCATCTCATATGCTCTTTTTCTGATCACCCATGTACATTTAGGAGTCTCTAAACTCCAGCGGCAACCCCAGAAAAACAAACTGGCCCCTGCAGCCTCTATCGGGGCCCCGGTCTGCTTTGCCCTCCCAAGGGCTCTGGAGGAGAGCATGGGGTCTGTCAGAACTCAGAGCCTTCAAGTGGGGCCTTCATGCTCTATTCCGACTGTAATCTCTTCAACACCATGAACGTCTCATAATGCAGTAGATGCAGCACGACATCCTGTGCAACAGTCTAAACTCTGAAGTGAGCGCTTAGATTTGTTTCTCTTCCTGTGTTGGAAAGAAAGACAGACCTGGAGTCGGTTTGTTCATTGTAAGGTGACTGTCCAAAAATATTTTGTTTCTGTAGTTTTGTCTCTTCCAGAAAGGACACAAAGTGGTGTTTTTGAGATCAAGGTTAAAGGAAATTAAGGGCAGGAAAAAAATATACAGTGTAAAGTTAATGCAAAACCCAAGCCTGAGGTCCTGAACTGGCTTTCACACTGTTTTGACAGTCCTTAAAGTGGGCTCTAACAAGCACACATCATGATGTTTTCCCACCTTGAAAAAGGGTCAGACCTCCTCAGCGCAAGTGTCGATTTATCCACTGTAAACGTTGTCATCTTCTCTTTATTAAACATCTCTATTTTAAAGTCATACTCGTGTAGGAAAACACAGAGGTTACCTAACACATTCACTGTCTCCGGACTGAGGGCCTCAGTTCCTCACCAGGGGGACTCAGCAGGGCTGCACTTACTGAAAAAAACAGTAGTGCGTGTGTGGAGCCAGAACGCCACATTCGTGCGAAAGGTAGGCAGCTTTCTCCTCAAGATCGGCCATAGCTAAATGCAGTATATTTTGGAGTTGGATCCTGGAACAGAAAAGGACATGAATGGAAAACCTGATGAAATCCAGACAGTCTGGACTTCAATAAGTTGTAACGTCCTAGTGTTGATTTCTCAGTTTGATGAATGTACTGTGGTTGTAATGTATTAACATCGTGGACACGGAGCTTTACTGTTTTTCCAACTTCTCTGTAAATCTAAATTTATCTGAAAACAAGACATTTATTTTCTTTAAGAAAAAAATTTAGTGAGAAATTTTAAACGTTTAAAAAATTATATGTTCCCAAATACTGTGCAGGTGCCAGCTTCTACCTTCAGTGAAATTCACTGGCCAGAAATTTTTAAATAAATTTTAATGTTTAATTTTGCACTGCTGCCACTAGGTGGCAACAAACACCTTATCGTGCGCTTTCTAACGTGTTAATCTTGTTTTTCTCCTTTAAAAGGCTTTGTCACAACAAACAGAGCAAGGTGTATCTCCCAGAGCCACCTTTTCCTCACGCAGAGGTAAGAAAACAAAACGTTGGGGTCAAGGTAAAAAAGAAATGCAGATGATTTGGTGTGAATCAGGATAGTGGGCATCAGATTAAAGATACCCCTGTGTAATCCCTTTGTGCATCCCTTTGCCTCCGAAATAAGATGGGAGCGAAGTACTCACCTCGGGATTCTTGTTTCTTCCTGTGAACACATCCTGCGTCTACACAGCTCAGCCTTCCTCTGTTCTGCTGACTGCGGGAGCAATCACATTCTCATATCTACTGCTAACTTTTCAGTCACAGATGTATTATTGTCAAAATGTTCTTTTATAGTTATGTCAACCATATATGTAAATGTTTAGTCATGCAAATAACATTTCTGTTTTTAAACAAATAGAAAATTCCCTCTCCTTCACAGAACTGATGGGTATTTTTATTTGGCTGAATACCCAGTTTTGTTTTCATTGCTTTTTTTCAACAACTGATGTGTCTTGGACAGTTTTCTTTGTGCCTCGTATTATTGTTATGCTTATTCTTTGTTACATTATTAGTATGTTTTTATAGAAAGGATGTTTAGTTGGGCGTGGTGGCACATGCCTGTAGGCCAGCACTTTGGGAAGCGAAGGCAGGAGCATCACAAGTTCCAAGTCCCACCTGGGCAACTCAGCGTGTCCCTCTTACAAAATTAAAAGGGCTGGGGTGCAGGTCAATAGTAGAGTGCCCCTGGCTTCGATCCTCAGCACCACACACACAAAAGAGGATGCTTAACTTGGTATAACTACTTCAGCATATGCTTGGCAGTATCTGCTAGATCTGTACAACATACTCTATGCCGTAGCAGTTTTGTTCCGAAAGTATATACTGAACAGAAGTACATAGGTACATTACCAACAGACGGCACACGCGAAAGTCTTGACGGACTTCTTGGTCATAGTACTGATGTTCCCACTGTCCATCATCGTGTGTGGCATGGGTTTTGTGGTATATCCAGTGGAGTAGTGTACATGCATGAGAATGAATCAGCTCCAGTTACATAGAACAGTGCAAATAAACTTCACAAACATAACGCGAGTGAAAGAGGCCAGACATAAAAGAGTAGATATGGTGTGGTTTTATTTACATAAAAATCCAAAAACATGACAGAGTAGTAAATGGTGTTAGAAGCCAATACAGGTTATTTTGGAGCTAGAAGGGGTACAGGAGAGACTGGAAGGGGATAGAGGGATTTCCAAGGAGCTGGTGCTTTGTTTCTTGGTGGCCATATGGGTTTGAGCAGGTGCTCAGTTTGGTTTAAAAATCACAGTTGGGAGTTATAAAAAGAGCAAAGACTAGAATTAATCTTGTGTTGGATTGAATTGTTGATGTACCTACTCTCAATATGTATAGATAGACATATATATTCTTATGGATTTAGTTTTATCTTACAATTTATTGTTTGACACAGTAAGTTGCAACAAATCATTGCTAATTTGAAGTTAAACTGTTATTTTCATGCTCTAAAGGGTAGGTTAACTAGGATGCCAAGTGTAAGGTTTTGAAGAAGTTATGTTTTATTCCTCATACTTTAATATTATAGCACACAGTATTTTTATAATCTGTCATTGCCACAGTGAAATTTAGGGTAGAAATACAGTAACATCAGAGAATTCAGCTGGGGATGTAGTTCTGTGATCAAGCTCTTGCCTATCACGTACCTAGCCCTGGGTTTAATCCCTAGTACTGCTAAATGCAAACAGATTAAGTATGGGAAAACATTTTGTTGATGTTCATTCCATCTATACTATTCTTATTCCATCTACACATGTGACAGCTGATTCACGATGGTGCCATAATTCATATGTTTCACTGCCATGCGGCTCTGATTTTAATTCGGTCGTTCCCGCTGGCGTGAACCACTGTGGCATGTGTATGTTTGTCCCATCGGGCAGCTTTTACCACTATTGTCTTTGATTATAGTAACGCAAGGAAAGGCATTGAATTACAGACTATATGTCATCATTACAGTTCCTTAAGGAAAATTTTTTAATGATATAAAAAAATTGCGATGCATTTATTTTGTGGTACAGCAGTTGTAAGTGCATATTACATGCATCAGCAATTGGGTACTTATGAGATTTCCGTGTTAAAATTTAGAGAATTAATTATTACTAAAATATAAATAGATGTTTTTCATTTAATGAAGTAAATATGTTGAATGTGGTAATAATTTTAATTGGCATGAGTAGTATTAATATTTCTGTTTGGGCAGTAACTACTCATATTTAAGCAATTAACTCAATTCTGACCATTTATAGACTTTTCATTAAAAGTGATTAGATCCAGTTGTGCCACCAGTGGTTCAAGCCACCCAATGGGACAGTCACATGTCTACCTGCAGGAACATACTGAGGTGCTACAGTCTTCCTAATAAAACCACGTCTCTCCGATAAAAGGTTGGGTCTTCAAAGTGAAGAGTTTGACTTCTTCTGAAGAACGTCCCAAGCTGGCCATGTCCTCATTTCTGGGGTGACATCATTTAGACTTGAAGTTGTTGACTAAATCCCTCCTATGCATTATGGTTGCTACTGGACTAAGCCATATCACAAACCATTTTTTTTGTCCATTAAAAGGAAATGTTTCCTTTGGACAGTTTGATGTTTAGGGGCTGTGCCTGCCAGACATTTGTCTTGTGACCTTCTCTTGCTGGAGCAGGGAGGCGGAATGGGCCTAGGCAGCAGGGGTTTCTGAGCAATGTCACAAGAGGCCTTCCGTGGTTGTCACTGTGCATGGTGTTGCCTTGTGACATGCCTGACATCAGGAAAGCATTGTCAAATGGAGATTCTCAGGGTTCAAAACATAAAACCTTAGATAAGTTTAAGTCTGTGTATGTCCTGCTCCTTCCTATAGCTCTGTGTCCTCAGGATATGAAATCTTCAGAATTTCCAAAAGTTGAGTTGGTCTTTGAATTAAGCTGCTGTGTTAACTCAGCAGTCTGACCTCTCAAGGGCATTGCTGTATGAATGAACAGTCTACCTTGTAAGAGGGATCTATTTACTGTCATTAGAACTTGCTGATTCACACTTTATGGTTTGCATCTAGGTGTCCCCCCTAAGCCTCATGCAGTCTTAGGTAGGGCATTTCCAGAGGTGGCTGGATTGTGTGACACTGGGATTGATTCGTGGTGCATTGCTAGGATCAGGGGTGCTAGGATTAAGGGTGTGAGTGCTATCCACCCCAAGTAGCCTGGATAGAATAAAGGGGATAAGAAGAGCTGTGGTTGTCTCTTGCTTGCTTTGCTGCCTTCTGCCTACCATGAGTTGTTTTTTCCCTGCAAGGCATGTCTGCCACCCGACCCTGCCCTGGTGTCATCTGAAACCTCTACAAATTGTGAGCTAAATAAACCTTTCCTCCTTTAAGTTGTATGTGTTGGGTATTTTTGTCTCAGCAAAAGTAACACACACGTGTTTAGAAAGTTACTTGTTTTTTTTAAAACAATAACTAATATTGAGGACTTCAGGCCATGTTTAGAATGTCAGGAAGCCAGAAAGGAAGAGTTAGACTAAATCAGGTCAGAGCAACCTTATTAAAAGTTTTGGATGTGAGGGCTCAAGGGTGTAGTGTAGCTCGATGGTAGAGAGTGTGCCTGGCACTCTGCCTTGGATTCTGTCCCCAGTGACACCAAAACCAAACAAAAAAAAAAACAAAACAGTTTCAAGTATGTTAGATACTAAAAGGATTTGACTTTTCCATCTATTTTGAAAGTCAGATAATAGGTAAGAACTTTTGATTTGGGCTACTTCAATGACAGTCTCTAATTTGGAGTGGTTCCATTTAAAATTATTTCACTTTCTGATGATGGTGTGAAGATCACAAGTATTAGGGTGAAATCATATTTCAATCTGGACATAGGCTGGCATGTGCAGTACGGGTGAGGTACTGGGCAGTGTCTGTAAGTTGCAGCTCCCGGTCAGCTCTGTGATCACGAGTAGAAAGGGCTGAGCCCGCAGTGTGCTGCATGCCTAAGCGGCCCTGCTGGGAGCTGATGTGCACGTGCTTACAGGGCATTACAGCCTACAGGGCATTTATCAGAAGTAACCCAGTTGTAAACTGAGGAGCACCTATATTTATTTTTTTAAGTATTTTATTTTTAAAAAAAATTACACGGGTTTCCCACATATGCAGTCTCTTCCACTATGAAAGTCTATTAACCAGAATAGTGCATTTTTTATAATTGATGAACCTGCACATTTATCATCCAGGTCATTAGCAGTCACTCTGAGGTTGTACATTCTCTGGGTGTAGACAGGTGTGTAGTGACATGGATCCTCTACTAGAGTGTCCTATAGAATAGTTTCACTGCCCTAAAATCCCTAGTGCTTCACCCTGTCTCCCTTCAGCCTCTGGCAACCACCCATCAGTTTACTGTCTCCCAGGTCCCATCATTTCTGGACTGCCGTATAGCTGGGATCATGTGGCATGTTGACTTCCTTCCCTGAATAATAGGTTCTTCCCCGTTAGCTAACACTCCCTTGCCTAGTGTTCCGGTTTATCGTTTACCCAGTGATTATCTTGCTTGTTCCCAAGCTCTGTAGCAAATGTGAACAAAGCTGCAAACATCTGTGTGCAAGTTTTTCTGGAGATTAAGTTTTCAAGTCACTTAGGTAAATAGCAAGGAGCGTTATTGCTGACCCTGTGTTAAGTACTATATATGTTGAAGTTTGTTAAAAATAAATAAATAAAATTTTTTTAGAAAGCCAAACTCATTCCAAATTTCGCACCATTTTGTACTCCCAGCAGTGACAAGGCTCCCATTGCCCCCCATCCTCATCAGCATTTGGTTGTCAGCGTCCTAGATTGTGGCCCTTGCAATAGGCATGTAGCGGTAGCTTGTTGTAATCTGCATTTCCCTGCTGACTTCCGGTGTTCGGTATCTTTGTGACAGTTCTCTGTCAGATGCATCTTTCGTGGGTGTTTTCTCCCAGCATGGCTTGGCGTCTTCATTGTATTTTTAAGTCATTTTTGCACATCCTCCCACGCTGTAGTTCTGTCTTCATTCCAAGCAAACTAACAGCTCCGCCTGTGTTGTTCCAGCTCATTCAGACCAACAAGCTGAAGCACTACCCCAGCATCCACGGAGACTTCAGCAACGACTTCCGGCAGCCGTGCGTGGTGTTCACCGGGCACCCTTCGCTCCGGTTTGGGGATGTGGTCCACTTCATGGAGCTCTGGGGAAAATCGAGTCTCAACACTGTCATATTTACAGGTAAATTTACAAAATGAACTCACCCCTGCCCCTGCGCCCTTTCCTCTGGGGCCAGCACTGGCTGCAGCAGGGTGATCTAGGGAAAGATCTGCCGGAGGCCTTGGCCTGAGCATCGTTCTGCTGAATACACCGAGGAGCCAGTAGCGAAGGAGGAAGCGAGAAGCAAGTGCTCTTAGCTAACCGTCTGCTGGACACCACTGACGCTTAGGTTTTCCTGAGATGGATTTTTGCTGAACTGCTTTGTAGTGGATTCATTTGCGAGAACTGCAGTGATTCCCTACCTGCCCTTTGCTTTGCCTTTAGGAGTTGTTCTTTTCCACAGATCTTTCTCCTTTGTAGTTTACTCTGGCTTGGAGACAAACCCCTCAGGAAAAAGAAATCCTTTTGTGAGATCAAGTAAGGGATTGACTTAGACAGTTACTGTATTATTTTATCAATTTATGGGGTTCACACTGACTTGGGGTTTGGAAAACTCGCAGGCTGGAAAGTAAAACAGTTCGATCTGAAATCTGGACCAACTTGCTGTATTGGCAGCCGTGGCCTCTCCTGGGCCATTTTCCACGCTGTGGGTTGGGGAGTTCCCAGCTGCTGCAGGCTGCTTTTCTTCTCTCCCACCTTTGGCTCACAAGACGTTGCTTCCCGGCACCTGGGACTTGGCCATTCTGGGAAGGTTGTGCCGAGAGCACTGCGTGGGCAGGGCTGGGTTTGGTCTCTCACTCCTCAGCCGTGACTGGCTTGGCAGTGGGTGTGGTATTGGCGTGGCACACCCTAAAGTGTTGGATCTGGGCCAGATGTGCCTTCAGCCAGCTAAGAAGAAATCAGAGCCTATGTGATCATTCATGACAACTCTGGGTAATGACTTTACATTTAAAATGGTTCATCAGAGCCAGCTCTGGTGGCGCACGCCTGTCACCCCAGCACTCAGGAGGCTGAGGCAGGATCACTGTGAGCGCAAGGCCAGCCTGGGCTACATAGTCAGACCCTGGCTCAAAAAAATAAATAAATAAAATAAAATAAAATGGTTTGTCAGGCTTCTAGAGCAGTTGTGAGGTTCTGATATCCGCTAGTGGGAGAGGAGACTTTGAGCCACCTTTTCAGCTGGTGTGATGACTGTTGTCATATTGGGAAGAGTCAGTATTCCCTGCTAGGTGGCCTGTTCTTATCTTGGAGTTCTGGAAATTCTTTGGACAACATGACCCACTGGAGGTAATTTAAGTATCTGGATGTTCTGACACCCACCACGGGCATGCCTGTGATCCTAACACTCTGGGAGGCTGAGGAAAGTGGACTGCAGGTTCAAGCCCAGCCTGGGCAACTTAGCAATTTAGACAGATTCTGTCTCAACATTTTTTTTTAAAGTAGATGGGGAGATGGCTGAGCTATAGCTCAGTGTGAAGGCCTTGGGTTCAGTCGCCAGTACCCTGAGCCCAGGAACCCTGAGAAGGAAGGCCTCACAGGGTGCAGCGGGACTGCAGGGTCCGAGTGTCAGCTCTCCCGTCAGGAGTGAGCCAGCTCTTCTGGCTCCAGGCCACAACCTCGCTGAACGGAGCTGCAGGGCCTCCCAGAGGAAAAGCGGGGCCAGGGAGAAGGGTTCGAGGACGGGTCCCTGCTGGGAGTAGGGCTGTCTGTGGTTTCTCAGCGCATCCTGTCGGGTAGGTGGTCCTGCTGGCTTGTCCCGAGCCAGTGTCAGCTGCCCGTGCCTGGTGTGGGGGCTGTGATGCCCGTGGCTGGGGCGGGCCTCGGCTCTGCGCCTGTGGTGCAGCTTGGCTTTTTGTACTTACCCCGCGTCTGGGGCATTTGGAGAAACATCTCCATCCTCTTCTTCCTTTTCTGCAGCACACACTGATGGCTCTGGTCCATCCGATGGCTCTGGATTCATTTCTTGACACTGACTAGCATTTCGCTAGAAAGCAGAGCTTTCTGCTCTCTCCTGTGGCGCTCGTCTGCCGCTTGATGTTGAGCGCTCTGAGCCCACACCTGTGCCTCCCAGGCCTGGTCCACTGCAGGATTTACCCTGCCTCCTCGCTGACTGGGAGCCCCAGCCCACGGCCCCCAGCCCCTGCTCCCTTTCTGCCAAGCTGACAGCACCCCCACCCCACCCTGTCCCGCTGCCTGATGCTTTCTCACTGCAAATGAAAACGCCCTTCTTGCGCTCTCCCTAGAACCTGACTTCTCCTACCTGGAAGCACTGGCTCCCTACCAGCCCTTGGCCATGAAGTGCATATACTGCCCCATCGACACGCGCCTCAACTTCATCCAGGTGTCCAAGCTGCTGAAAGAAGTGCAGGTGACCAGAACTGGCCTGTCCTCACGAGGCCGAGGGGCGGGGGGGAGGGGGGCTGGATGCGTTTGAGCCCCGTCCTCTCCAGGTCCCACACAGCTGCATGGTGCTGGGACAGGTCCTGCTAACCCTGCTACTGAGTAATGGTCTTCACACCCTGAACAAAGAAATCAAAAGTACAGTTACTTTGGGTGGGGATCAGTTGTGCTCCCTAAAAGCAAAGTGCCCCCTCAAAAAAGTCATTCGAGAAACACACTTAGCAGACTGAAAGGGCCATATTGGGCCCTTGTTACACAAACAGTGTTGCTGTGGTTTGTTGTTTGATTTGGTTTGTATTTTCTGCCCTAAAGAAAGGGAAGTAGCCAGCTTGGTGGCGCACGCCTGTAGTCCCAGCACTCGGGAGGCTGAAGGGAGGAGCATTGTTGTAAGTTCGAGACCAGCCTGGGCTACAAAGTGCGCTCAAGGCCAGCCTGAACTGCATAGTGAGACCCTGTCTCAAAAAGACAAATATATATATATATAATTAATACACCTATTTTGCTTATATGTATGATACACATCAGTTCATAATAGTTACCTTGGGCTCCTTGCTTACAAAGTACACAGACTGTCTCAGAAAGACAAACAAAAGAAAGAAGGGGAAGAAGTAGTTAGGTAATCTGCCCGGGAGGCAAGCGTAGAGGGAGACAGGGATATAGCCCCTGTGTGGCAGGTTAGGAGGTGTTAGGCAGTCGGCACTGGAAGGCCGACTGGAGCTGGCATGGGAACAGGAGCAGGGAGAGGAAGGCTCCTGGCTGCCATTACCTCTGGAGTCGCAGCTCAGTGCGGAGTGCCCTGGCACGGCCACCACCTCTGCCTGCTCGGTGAGCCATGTGCGCTCAGCTCTAGGTTTCCTGCTGTAGTCAGAAGTTCCCTTTCCTCCTCCTCGCAGAATCTGGGGTCGGGAAGAGAGATCCTACCCAGGGTACCCCAGCAGGGGGCAAGAAACAAGGCCTTTGGGGAGGCAGGAAGATGCACTGTGGATTACCAGCTTGCTTCACCTGTAAGGAGGGAATCTGGGTTTTCCCTAGCCTTAGAGACCCCAGCTTTGGGCCTACAAGAAGGGATTTGATGACAGCTCTGCTCACCCCGGGGAGGGCACAGCTAGGAGCCTGGTGCTTTTCGTTACTGAGTAACTTCAAATGCCAGGCCTAAGCCCACGTGTGCCCGTTACACCCTGTGCCGTGTGCTCGTATTGGGAACCAGAGCCCAGCGGCTGCCACTCTGAGAGGAAACCTGCATGTACGTCAGTGCTAAGCAGGGCTGCGCGATGCCAGAGAAGTGAGGAGGAGGAGCAGAAGGCGTCTGCGGAAGGGGAAGCACAAGCTGGGAAGGACATGTGCTGTGTGACCGCCCCACCTGGCCTGCTGGAAGTCTTCCGTCGGGATTAATGGCTTAGTCCAGACCCTTAAGTGAAAGCAGGAACAGTGCCGTGACCTTGTGGATTGTCAGCTTTCATTTTCAGCTGGGTGGTATTTGTCCAAAATAAATGTTGGTTTACTGAGGTTTTTTTCTCTCAAAAAACAAGGGGAAACGTTCTTTTAAGTTCCACATCTGATTTGTTGCTGCACACTGTTGAGCGTGTGGCCTGCGGGGGCCCGCTGCTAATACCCTGGACCTGCCCGTAGCATAAGCAGCTCCAGGCCCCCGCGTGGCCGGTTCCTCTCGGTCTGTGTCGGGGGTGAAGGCCAGGCCCCAGGGACGCTGCACTTAGGGAGCCTAGAGACCCGCTGAGTGGACATGCACGATGTCCCCTTGAAAGAGTGACAAACAGTTTAACTGCAGACTGAGACCGGGAATCCTTTGCTCGCCCACTGGCTGGTGGCTCGGAGGTCTCCCTGAGGGGCATCCTGCTCTCCCTGCTTTGTGCTTGTCTCTGTTGCTGGTCAGTTGGGTTTGAAGGGATGAGAGTACCGCGTGGCCTGTGAGGGTCCTGAGCCCCCAGGACGCCAGGACCAGGAGGAGGAGCAGGGTGCTCTGCCCTCTGGCCGCCCCCGACCTGTCCCGTTGGTCCACAGCCCCTGCACGTGGTCTGTCCCGAGCAGTACACGCAGCCGCCCCCGGCCCAGTCGCACAGGATGGACCTCATGATTGACTGCCAGCCGCCGCCCATGTCCTACCGACGGGCCGAGGTCCTGGCCCTGCCCTTCAAGCGTCGGTACGAGAAGATCGAGATCATGCCCGAGGTGAGTGGCCCTGTCTCGTCATGGAACTCGGGTTTAACTGCCTGAGTCTCAAAGTGGGTGCGAGCGGGCTTTCTTTTGGGTTTGTGTCGACTGTGAATGAGTCAGCACACAGACCCGTAAGCAGGTCACCAGGAAAAGAGATGGGGCGAGGTGTGAGGCTTTGGTTTCCCAGGCTGCCTCTTGGATGGATGTGAGTGAGACCCGCCTCGCCGCCACACTCTTCCCGGCCTCCTGGACTCGTGCGTGAGTGAGGGGTGAGTTTCGCTGCCTTCAGAGAGGGGGAGATACGAATAACCAGCAAAGGAGGAATGTAAACTTACTTCCATCCCTTTTAGCGAAGTCTTGTGGTTTTGGTGTTTTGGCCTGTCATAGTCTAAATATTTATAGTTCTCTAAAATCCTAATTGGGTTTTTCTGTTTTTGTTTTAATTTTCTTGCAATACTGGGAATTGAACCCAGAGCCTCATACATGCCAGGCGAGCGCTTTACCACTGAGCTCTATCTCCAGCCCTTTTTGCTTTGAATTTAAATTGCTGAGGCTGGCTTCAAACTTGGAATCCTCCTGCCTCAGCCTCCTGCGTAGCTGGGATCACAGACATACAGCACCATGCCGTTAGCATATGTTTTAACGGGGAAGAAATGAAAAGCAAATTGTACACGTGACCAGTCAAGGAAGGCAGGAAGAAGAGGGACTGGGCTCTGAGGTGATGGTGTGGGCTGCTTCCAGCTTCCTTTTCCTCTTAAGACAGCTTGGACGGATTCTGACAGATGGATGAGAGAAAGAGCAACACCTCTGTTAGGCCAGCTGCCCAGCATTCTTCCTGGGTTTGGCTTTAGGAACTGTGCGGGCTTGGTCCCAACAAGGCTGGTGCAGAGCCGCTTTCCACACGGGTGCTCTTCACACTAAGCAGAAGGGCGGTTTCCTTAATGAAGAACAATAGCCAAAGCAGATAAAGCGGTTTTAATCATTAAGTTGGATGCACAATTCCCCAGTGTGAGGCTAACCAGCATTTCAGTGCAAACAGCCCCGTTTCCATTCAGTAGGTGAGCATCGTTGTGTGGCCTTCTCGCATCCCATGGCAGCAGCGAGGCCAGGCAGGTGGTTCTGGCTCCAACCACACGGCAATTTCAAAGCAATGACGATCGTTTTCTTAGAAGTCTTACAAGTGGGTTACAAAGACTTTTTTTTTTTTTTTGGTGTTTTTTTTTGTTGTTGTTTTGAGACAGGGTCTCACTATATAGTTTAGGCTGGCCTTGACCTCACAGCAATCCTCCTGCCTCAGCTTCCCAGGCATGTGCTACCACACCCTGCTGTAAAGGTTTCTTAAGGAGTAGAGGAGTCAAAAGCCTGTTAAGCGGTGAACTGCTGGAAGGGTATGGATAACTTCTCAAGCTGACTGCCTTGAAGGCCATTTGGATGTTTGTGGTCTCGTAATTCTGCAAAAGGAAAAACGTGAATTTTTAGTTGGAACTTGTAAACTCAGCATTTTAGTCTTCTCTAACTGGCTAAACAACTAATTATTGCCTGTTCAGGAGGAGGAGGCCAGGGTGACTAGTTCAGTCCCCTCAGTTCTCTGGGTCACTGGTCAGCCCTCCTCTTGGGCCGTGGTCCTCCTGAGACGCCGCCCCACACTCCTAACAATGGCTGTCTGCTTCCCACTCCTAGCTGCCCCATCCCTCCGGTTAGTACTGCCTGGATTGGAGCGGTCTTATTTCATCCGTTGGCATTGAGAATGATTTTTTTTTAATGAAGGACAGAGGAAAGCAGGTTTCCTCTTAAGGACAGTTTTTATTTTGTTTCATGTATTTTTTTGATTTTGCTGTTCATTTTCTGTGCATTTTGTTCATCTTACAGTGAAAGACACTCCTGGGATCGTTGGGTTGTTCTCTTTTTCATTATTCCCTGATTGCAGTACACGCAGCTTGCAGTGATCCTGGGGACTGGGGACAGGTGCATGGTACAGCTGGGTTTTTTAATCCCCTTTTCCCTCTCGCCTCCCAACCTCCTCCTTTAATTCTTCTTTCCCCATTTCCATTCCTTTTTTTCTTTTCTCTCTCTTTTTGAGACAGGGTCTCGCTATGTAGTTCACGCTGGCCTTGAACTCACTCTGTAGCCCAAGCTGGTCTCAGGAATACTTCTGCTTCAGCCTCCTGAGTGCTGGGATTATAAGCATGTGCCAGCATGCCCAGGCCCCATTTGCATTCTTGTTGGTCTTATTAATCGTAGCACATGTTTATGGCCTATAATGTTGACATTCCTTGAGGTTGTTGAGTTCCACTACATGGCACTTACTTCCTCTTCGCTTGTCCCTCACCCCGTGCCCTGGAGCTCTGAGACCCGCCTCCGTTTGCAAGAGATCCATCCCCTTGTCTCCACCTTTTATTATTCTGTTTGCTTGTAATTCACCTTACCCACAAGGAGGCTATGTGTCTGGTTTTCTTTTTACTCACCATTGTATTTTCCAGCATCCATTTTCTTACAGATGTCTGCAGTTTGCCCTTTCTTAGAGCTGAGTAGTATTCTTTTATGTATAGATACACTTTTTCCTTATCCGTTGTCTGTTGTTGGGTACACAGGCTTCTTCCAGGGTTTAGCTGCTGTGAATTGTGCTGCTAGAAACGTAGGTATGCATGTTTTGCTGTAGTGTGATGTCTTAAGCTCTCTGGGGATGGTACCTAGAAGGGGGATAGCTGGGTCATATGTTCTTTCTAACCTTTCATTTGCGTAACTCTTACATGTACTGTAATCTATAACAGGTAAGTCCGAGCAGCCAGTTGTAAATCCAAACAGACATTGAACAGTTAGGTCATTAAATGAGGAATATCTGTGCATGACCGCAAGCTTGATTTGTGAGGTTCAGTCTGCCACAATTCTAATGGTTTACCTTTGTATGTGATTTTTTTCCCCTTCTCTGACTGCTTTTAAAATTCTGGTTTTTCACTGGATATCTAGCAGTTCAATAAGGACACGTCTTGGTGCGCTGCTTTTTTCATCATAGCTGTTTGGTGTTCTGGCAGCCCCGCTTCTTTGTATGTTGAACTCGTCTCCTATTTGGGAAGTTTTCTGCTGTGGTTTTGTAAACACATCAGTAATCCCATCTGCATTATCTTCTAGCTTTTTTCTAACTCCACGTAGCCGTAGGTTGGTTGTCTTAAGTGTGGACTAGCAGCTGCTGGATGGTCTTTTCTTGTTCTCTTATTTTTTTGGCATGGTTTGCATGAGTATCTCTTTATAATTTACCATTTTTGTACTCAATTTGAGATACTCTGTCTTCACATTGGTCATTTCTGCAACTTACGCGTTCTCTACAGTTTCAGGTATTCCTACCTGAGGGTTCTGTATCTCTGTGGAACTGGTCATTCATGTTTTGAGCCTTTTTGGTCACGTCACCCAATTTTTTACTTATTCCCCCAGATTCACCTTGGGCGTGTTGAGTGCTAATGCCGTGAGTCTCTTCTTTATTTCCTCTTGGAGCTCATCTAGTTGTCCATCCCGTCTACAAACTCTTCGTAGCGTTCCACTACCTGGCGTTCTGTCCTGTCCGCGTGGGGCCCCTTGCTGTCTTGGAGAGTCCGGAGGCCTCGCTTCCCCACTCCTGTGTGTCTGCGCATCTGCTCATTGTTTACAGTTCCCTGGAACTCCAGACACCAGCACAGAGACAAAAACAGTTGTTAACCCCTACTATGTGACCTTCGCTCTGGTGGTAAACTCAGGCATCAGTGACGTCATATGGCAAGTGGGTATCACAACCCTAGGAGCCACTCATAGACAGCCCGTAACAGAACTAGAAGACATGACTTCAGTGCACACAGACCACCTGAGGCCACTAGACTCGGTGCCAGAGGTCAAAGACCACTGGACCGTCCACCTTCTTCAGGGCCACTCCCTCTGACGAATTCAACCCGCCCTGGAATCTGGCCTCCCTCCACAGGATACAGCCCTGTGCACGCACTGGTCCGTGTCCGGTCTCCAGGGTCTCTGGTAAGGTAATACATCAGTCCAGAAGCAACACTCTCCTCCTGGGTGTTGGTCTTTTTTTTTTTTTTTTTTAATATATTTATTATTTTACATTTTGTATATTGCAAGATTTTCTTCTCTTTTGTTTTTGTTTTTGTTTTTCTGGTACCAGGAATTGAACTCACAACCTTGCACTTGCCAGGCAGGCGCTGTGCCGCTGAGCTAAATGCCCAGCCCCCGGGTGTTGGTCTCTTCTTCAGTCAGGTGGGTCAGTTGGTTATCACCTCTGTGGCCCTATGCGGAGGAGACCCCAGGAGCACAGCCCGCCTGCACTCGTCCATCCTGTGCTCATCCCGGGTTCCTCACCAGCTGGGTGCCCACCGTGGCCCCAGAGTGCGACTGGGGTGGGGCGGGCAGTCGTCTGGCCCGTCCCAGGCTTTCTTCAGTGCGCACAGTGCGGGCCTCTTCTGGATTATTTCTGTGTGGTAGCTGACAGTGGCTGGGAATAAGGGCCTACGTTTAGATTTCAACGCTCCAGACCAGCAGTCCTCAAACTTCTTGATCTCACACACCTTAAAAAATTAGGATCGCTAGGAGCTTTTGACTGTGTAGGTTATATTTATCGATATTTGCTATATTACAAATTTAAAATGTTTTTAAAAACATGAATGCATTTAAAAATAACATTGTAAACCCATTATGTTAACATAACTAAAGGATAAAGGCCAAAGCAAAACTCGGTCTTAGTCGCAACACTACCTTCCGATAACTGTTTTAGGGATAACACTATTTTTGTGATAACGATTTTGGGGGTTGGAACAGGGTCTCCCTATGTAGTTCCAGCTGGGCTTGAATTCATTATGTATCCCAGGCTGGCCTCAAGTTCACAGATCCTCTTGCCTCAGCCTCCTGAGCGCTGAGATTGGGGGCATGGTGGCTAGAAATAATTATTCTAGTTAGGTTTTGTGTACTGCCGTGTCTGCTGTTCATGTGTGTATTTGCTGGAGTCATGCCTGGTAGACTTTTCACCTAACTCCAAGGATGTTACGTCCTTAAAGATATTTCAAGCACTGGAAATGTAGCCCAGTGGTAGAATATGAGGCCTGGAGTTTAATCCCCAGCACCCAAAAAAAGAAACTCAAAAGTTTCTGTTTTAATGCCTGTATAACAGTCTTGCATAAGCCAGTTGTAATTTAACTGTTCATTTGCTGGTGGACACCTATTGTCTTAACACTTTTCGAAGCACCCTTTTATTTAAATTGTTTTTGTTGTGTTTTGCGTAGGAACTTTCAGAATTTGGCGTTTCTGGGTTAACCCTTAGGAGCGTGTCTATAGCTCCAGGTTACGCACTGCTGTCTTGTGCGGCCCCAGTGAAAGCCTTTCTCCCGGGCTCCTAAAAAACGCTGCTGAGCTCCTCCGGTTCTTGTTTTACAGCCTTCTCTTTTGCCCTCAGGAAAAGCCTCTTCCTTCCAGTTGGAGGGAGCCAGAGGGAGTGTTCCCAAAGGGCCTTGGACACCAGGCTGAGAAGCAAAAGCACAACTCTTGGGTCAGAAAGAACAGGATTGTCCTCAGAGGCCAGGAGTGCTGTGGTCCCGGTGACCCCAGGACCACATGGGGGGGGGGCTGCCCGGTGCCCTGAGCCCTGGTGGGGGCTGCGCGCCAGCTGCTGAGCTCACGGCTTGTCTTTCAGATCTGATTACCTTTCTCAATGTGTGTAAGTGGCTTCCCTCAGCGAAGGTAGGGCTCCAGGAGACAGCGTGTGGCAGACCAGTAAGAAGCCCCGCACTATCACTGCAGTACGAAGCAGGCTGACACTCAGCCCATGGCTTTGCCCCCTCTGGCCCCTGGTTGCTGTCAGTGTTTCCTAAGAGGTTTTCTGGGATGCCGGTCCTTCGGTCCAGAATCACTTCCAGGGTACAAGTGGACGCCCTCCCTTCCGTGGGTGGTGAGCTGCAGTTACTCTGCACCCCAGCCTGACTTCTGCTGCGATGGAGCCCTCTGTTCCCCATGAGCCGCCCCACCTGGCATCTCCTGGAAATTTGGTCACACTGCCCAGGGAGGGCCTGCTTGGCGTCCACGCCAACCCCAAACCTCCACAGCCAGCCTGACCTGGGCAGGGGACGACTGCGTGCAGAGAAAAGCAGTTTAGGGCATGGCTAAGGTGAAGGCCAGGACTGGCATGGCAGGAGGCTGGTACGTTGCTGCCCCACAGGAAGGAGCACGCCATTTACCCCATGTGCATTTCCTTACTTGGGGAGTAGCCCTCATGTGTCCAGTTCCTGTGTGTTTAAACCGTGTGCGCCGCCCGACACGGACCGTCTGCGGCAGCGGCATCCCGCGTGTCTGCGGCTGCTGTTCGGCACAGGCTTGCCGGGTAGCAGTGTGATGTCTGTGGGAACCGCACAGAGCCGGACCGATCGCCGGGGCTGCCAAGGCTTAAGCTCCCCACAGGGTCTGTGGCAGCGGCGCCCAGGAAGGAGAAAGAGGCCCAGCCCACCCAGGGCCGGGATGGCCCTGCAGCTAAGGCTAGAGCGTGGGGGATGATGGGCACACGGCCGTCCTGTCCTCCCCACCTGACACCAGTCACCTGGCCAGATGAACGGAGAGGCTGCCTCTGGCGTGACGGAGGAGCCTGGGCTCGGGGCAGGCTGGCTGGGGTGAGTACTGGGGCCTGGGCCCCGGCCATCTTCACACCAGACACCTCACCTGGAGACAGGGAGCCTCACCGCCGCAAACTCTGGGTTTGAGAGGCTTGGTGAGAGTCTAGGGAGGTCGGCGCACTCAGGCTGCGCCCACAGGGAGGGTGCTGGCGCTGTCCTACTGCGGCGTGACGGAGACAAGGGAGGCATGAGGGGCCAGCGCACAGCCACGTGTGGCTGCCCTCGGGCACCAGCGGCCGAAGCATGGAAGGCTCTGCGTCTGGAGAAGGCTCAGGCATGTTGGTTGTTCTTGCTCCTCCCAGCCCTGTCCGTGCCTGCCTTCATCTTTTCTGTCTTCTCTCCCCGCCTTCCTTTACTGTAATTGATAGAATGTGCATGGGTGTAGGATTGGCTGATGTGTTTTTATTCTTTAAAAAAATTGTATCATTTGTTTGCCTTTTTTCTCGCTCAAGCTGTTTGGCCATTTCAGAGTACACTGATGTCAATACAAATTACAGATGAGATCCCTCCTGGAAATCATTTAGGGGCCCGGCCTCCCACATGGCCACCCCTGTCCCTCCAGGAAGGCTGAGTGCTGGTCCCCCGGTGTCACCATCCACACTAGGCTCCTGCAGGAGGCTGGGACCAAGGCCCTGTGTCCTGCTCCTCCCGCTCAGGGAGCCCACTTGAAACTGCATTTTCTTTCAGCTTGCAGACTCCCTGGTGCCCATGGAGATCAAGCCCGGCATCTCCTTGGCAACCGTCTCAGCTGTGCTGCACACGAAAGACAACAAGCACGTGCTGCAGGTACAGGTGGCGCGGGCGGGACTCGAGGCAGGAAGGCCCCTGCCCGCAGGAAGGCCCACTCCCTAGACATCACTCCCTTCGCTGGCAGAAACCAGAAGCAAGGCTGTGTAATAATGCACACCCGAAATGGGGCCGGGGGAGGGGTACATTTCATCAAAATTCTTTGGCCACATGGCTCAGAGACGGAAGGGAAGAGAGACTGGTTGCAGTCCATGTCACTGCTAGCTTCTGTGGGCACATTCCTCACACGAGCACTTGCCAGGCACTCCCCAGAGCACTGCAGGGCAAGAGGGGTGCTGTGGGGAGACCTGAACAGCCCCTTCCCTTAGGGGCCTGGAAATACACAGCGTAAAACCAGCGAGGCCTGGGGCCTTGAACGCAGGAGGGACTAGCCCCCACTCAGTGGGTGGCACTTGTCTCCCCAGTTCCTTTCAGACTGGACTCTCACCCTCGGTGACCTCCAGCGCTGTGCTGGGGCTTTAGCATGCATGGTGGCAGTTCGCCCTCACAGAATTGCCGTGCAGTGCTGTCATAGCTGTTCCCTGATCTCCATTTCCTGGTGGGAGGCTGACAAAGCTAGTACTGCACACACATCAGACCCGACAGCCAGTGTGCTAGGCAGTTGCCAACAGTTTACTGTGAGAATATACTTGGGAAAGTACTGTACTGAATTGGATTGATGGAAAATTAACTAGACCTTGATTAAAAAAAAAAAAAAAAACAGATCTTAGAGGCCAGGTGTGGTGGTACATGCCTAGACTCCCAGCACTTGGGAGGCTGAGGCAGGAGGATTGCCGTGAGTTCAAGGCCAGTCTGGACTACACAGAGTTCAGGGCCAGCCTGAACTACAAAGCAAGACCTTGTCTCAAAGGGAAAAAAAAATGGGTCTCAGGTAAGTGGTACCCACATGGATAATTTTGCATTTGCATAGAGGGCTCAGCTGAGTGTCTGCTCTCAGGTACCCACTAGTTTTCACACCAGGGGTGGCTCTAGGCTGTCTGGGGTCCCTCAGCCTCTGTGTCAGAGGAGAGGTGCTCAGGGCAGGGCAGGTAACAGGCTCTCCGCACTCGGGGAAGCTCTTGTGAGACCCTGCTTCCGTTCCACCCAGCCCCCTCCCAGGCCGGCGCAGCCCACCAGCGGGAAGAAGAGGAAGCGCGTGAGTGACGACGTGCCGGACTGCAAAGTGCTGAAGCCTCTGCTGAGCGGCTCCATCCCCGTGGAGCAGTTTGTGCAGACCCTGGAGAAGGTGAGCGGCTGCCTCACACGGTCGCCGTTGACGAGCCTTGTGCTGTGTCCTGCTTGTCGCTGAGGCCCATAGCTGGTGCCTGTCCCGGCCATGACAAGGGGCCGTCTGCTGGAGCCGCACTTGTTCCCAGGAAGCCCCTGGCTGCCCAAGCAGATCCCAGGCCCAGGCTGAGTGAGGGTGCGGGGAGCCCTTGGGAACTGGGACAGTTGGCAGAGTCAGAGGCACGAGAAGGGGCGGCCGTGTGGAGAGCACTGGGCTTCTCTCCTGCCTCAGCGTCCACCTACCCTGCACCCCAATGGCCCTGTCCCCTGAAAAGGAGATTTCTCATCTACCACTAACACGTTCTCGCTGGCTTGAACCATCAGATGTAATCACTTTTATCAGTATTTTCACCAAAAAATTAATAAAAAGCCACCGAATGGGACAGTCACACGTGTACACCAGTGGGTCCAGCCACCCAGCAGTGAGATAGGAATTACAGCCCCATCACGAAGGTGTGAAAAGGGAACACTCAGCCTAAGAGTTGTGGAGTTTGGGCCTCCTCGGGGCCTTAGGCAGGAGGGTGTCTTTGCTAGGAAGGGGAAGGCACTGCCGCAGGCTGCTGTCCACATGGCACCGCGGTGTCACTCGACAGGTGGTAAAAGAGCGCCCTGAATCCAAACTGAACATCCCAGCTGCCGGCTTCTTTCAGGTTCGCAGGCTTGCAGCTCTCCATCTGTCTTCTGACTTCCCCAAGCAGCTCTCCTAGGCCGCCCCCAGTCCTGTAGCCGATCAGACTGGCCCTGCTGTCCCAGGGACCTTACCGGCTCCTGGTGCCCACAGACGTGTGTCAGGTTCGACTTAGAAAGAGCCCCCTTTCCCAGGAGGCCCTTGCTCCACTTTGCTGCCTGCCGCCCTCCGGCTGTGGGCGGGCAGCCTCCTTGTCAGTGCTCTATGCATTTGTGTCCCTTGCAGGCAAATCTGCCTGCTTTCTACTTCTTTCTTCAACGCTACATCTGAAGTGTAGGAAAGGCCTGCAGTTAGAGTAGACGGAGCTGGAGCAATGCCTGCTCTGCTGCCTCGCGGCCTGCTGCCTTGAGAGGGATCTGCCATGGCAAGGTTGGTGGTACCGGCTGTGAGGACTGGCATTTTCCTGGGCACTCAGAACAGGTGACTGCCACTTAGGACACAGCCTAGCCGCCTGGACTCCTGCACATGGGGCCGGCTCCGCTGAGGCCCAGCCCTCGCTTCGGCAGGCTGCAGACCTTCTCCCCAGGCTTCGTGCGCTTCTCACAGCCGGGCCTCCTGGAGTGTCTTCGGAGCTGTGGTTGGGTTGCTTATGTAGCTAGCCTTGTTCCTGCAGAAATGTATTAAGAGGTGCTGAAAATTCCACTTTGAATGTCCTTTCGACCTGGGAAGTATTACTTTTAGATCTTGCATTTCCACAGTAGCTTCCCAACTTTTCCGTCAGACCTCAAATTTCCTCTGGTCACTTCTCTCTCTCTCCCTCCTTTCCCTCTCCCCTTCCCCCTCCCCCACCCCTCTCTGAGCAGCATGGCTTCAGTGATGTCAAGGTGGAAGACACGGCCAAGGGCCATATTGTCCTGCTGCAGGAAGCGGAAACACTCATCCAGATCGAAGAAGATTCAACTCACATCATCTGTGACAGTGACGAGATGCTGAGGGTACGACTGCGGGACCTCGTCCTTAAATTCTTACAGAAGTTCTGAGGATGTCTCAAAAAGACAAAACAAAACAAAAAACTGTGACAGGCATGATGGCGCACGCCTGTAATCTCAGCACTCAGGAGGCTGAGGCAGGAGGATCATTGAGAGGTCAAGGCCCGCCTGAGCTACAAACTGAGCTCAAGGCCAGCCTGAACTGCATAGTGAGACCCTGTCTCAAAAAGACAAAACAAAACAAAAAAACCAAACAGACAAAAAGGAAGTTCTGGGGCTGGGGATATAGCTCAGTGGCATAAGCACCTGCCTGGCAAGTGCAAGGTCGTGAGTTTGATCCCCGGTACCGCAAAAAAAAAAAAAGTTCTGAGGAGCCATTTCCTCTCCCTGGAATTCACCATGGCTCCCAGCACAGCCCGCTAAGGAAGGGTGGTGACGGCCAGTATCCTCGTGGTGTCCTCTGGCCTCGGGAAAACAGGTGGCTCTGAGGGAAAGTAGTCTGGAGCTCTGCAGGATCTGTGCCTGGCTTCTTGCAGTCTTTCAGGGGAGAACTTTCTCTTTAAGCCTCAGAATCCTGTCCTTGCCATCTCTGGCCCTCTTGAGCAGCTGAGTGTGACGTTAAGCTTGGCTGAATCCCTTTCTAAGAGGCTGACAGTGGACAGGGAAGTGAAAAGGTGACCGGCCTCTGTGATGCGGGCCCCGTGTTTGCGCTCATGGTACGCAGGCCTTCCTGGGGAACAAGTCTCTGCTTATCTGCATAGAGTGCTGCAACTAAAAAGAAGGAGGATCCAGACAACTAGGTCTTCTCTACTGTGGCCATTCTTGATAATAAAACTTATTTTTATAGCAGTGTGTGTTCACTGTCGAACCTCAAATCTAAATAGCTGAAAAAAGAATGAAAACAGAACGTAAACTTAGAAAATACTACAGCAGATTTCAGTTTGATGTGTACATTAAACCATATAACCCAGCATTGTTTCTAAAAATACAGAGATTTCTTCTTAATTTCTATGAAGTCCTTTAAGTTCTGTCTGCATGAAAAGCACTGAGATTGATGGACACGATCAGCTGCAAGTGAGAGAACGGCCTGAGCAGGCGTTTCTTAGAATATGACCCCCTGGTGGCAACACGGGTGCCTCCAGGTCTGCTAGCTGATCTGCCCATCACCACCGTTCTCACAGAGCCTCACGCCTTCCCTCAGACGCCCGCAGACACATAAGGAATGGTGAGGTTTCAGAGAAAAGTGACCTCTCACCAAAGACGACTATGCACACCTGTGATCCCAGCACTCTGGGAGGCTGAGGTAGGAGGATCACAAGTTTGAGTTCAGCCTGGGCAATTTAGCAAGACTCAAAAATGAAGAGGTTGGGGCTGCAGCCCAGTGCAAAGGCCCAGGATGCAATCCCCAGCCCACTGCCCACCCAGAAAACGATGACTGCATTAGAAATAATGCTGTCTCTGAACTGTTTAAACTTGGTGTTTGCCTGACCACATCACGTTTAAGACAGGATCCAGAGCAGGTGAGTTCTGGTCGTAGGTACAGCTTTCTGTGACTTCAACTGTAGGAAGTCAGTCTTCCAACTCAGCTGACAGCTGGGCTTCACAGAGAGACTCACAGACCCAGGAATGCTACGAAATCATCGCTCAGGTTTTGCAGGGTCCTGACTGTCAGCTCTCCTGATAGGATAAATGGGAACGAGGACTTCATTACAGGAGGAACAAGATGACAGCTTCTTTCCTACCTACATCTTGGCCAAGCCTGGGCACAGGATATTTAAGAGGCTTCTGTTTTCCAAGGTACAGGGCCATGTTGGGAACAAGTGGGGCGCTTCCGGCATGGGACATGACTGACTCATGAGAGACTAACTTGCATGTATGACAATTTACTTCTGTTTGTAGGAGAACGGTACATATTATCACATTGTAGGCATCCTTTCTAGTGAAACTTCCGCAAGCATCAAGTTAAATTTTTAAAAAGCATCTTGAAAAATGCAAGAGTGTAATAAGATGAAGCACAAAAGAAACCCGAATGTTTAAATGTCGTAGCATCGCCGTGTCCAGAAACGCCATGGGATCTGTCAGTCACCTGTGAACAGGCTGGGTCGGCGCTCGGGCCGTGGTGCCATGAGGGCGGTTCCCAGGGGAGCGCAGCTGCAAGCGTGCAGGAGTCAGCAGCCGCCTGGGGCAGGGAGTAACTGGAGGTTAGGCTCCCACCACGGCATCACCAACCCCTGGGGGCAGAAGATAGAGACATGAAGAAGCCAAGAACCTCTCTTCACAAAGAAAATGGAGCTGGCTCCCCAAGTCCTGCGAGTGAGCGAGCGGGGAAGACGAACTCCATCTCCAGCTTAGGTGTTCAGGAGCTGAACTGGGTGGTAAGCAGGAGATGCACAGAGATGGCAAAGAGGCCCTGCGTGCTGGAATTTGACCACTGGCTGTGGCTCTTTTGCTGGAAATGCAGCCCCCACCTGTGATACCACCTGGTAAAGTGTGACACCTAGAGAAATTTCTGCCTAAACCAGTAGAATAGTAATGATTAAATAACAATTGAGAAAATCCTTAAAAAGAGGTGAGAGACCTAATTTTGTTACCAGGTATTGATTGCTGTAACCACCCAAATCTTACTGGTTTAAAACCATAGACATCTTCCCATCTCATCATTCCTGTAGCCAGGACCTTGTGTGGCTTGTACATCTGTCCACAAGGCTGCCGTGGGGTGTCTGGTAAGACTGAGGCACAGTCAAGGAAGCTGCTGCTTGCCTTCCAGACAGCCTGGTCGTCGTCCTGTAAAAGCAGGCACTGGTGCCCCATGCTGCAGTGAGGCATGAGGGTGTGTTAAGATGCGCCCCGCAGCCTGGTGCAGAGTGCGGGCACACTTTGCCCTCTCCCTGCGCCACAAGGAACAGTGAATAGCTCGCTGTTGCACGTCACCTGCCGGAAGGTAGGCAGTATCCTTTTCCAGCCCTGCAGCGCCCCATACACAGGCGTCACTCTTCAGAGGGAGAAACAAGCAGCTGTGATTGTGCAGGAGGTCACAGCAGAGTCCTAGAGACAGGCAGTGCAGAAGTGTGCCGAGACATCTCATCTTGCTTGGGCTAGAGCCAGCACTGATCAGGAGTCGCCACTGCTCCCTGGTAGCTCATTATGGTTTTACTCACACCACAAGAACACGTACTTAAGCACTGGAGTTGCAGGACCACAGGTCTTTGACATGCGTCCTACCCACATCCTGTCAGGCATGCGGAGCTTTCTCATCTCTCAGCGTTGGCAATGGAAGCCCCTGGAAAAAATGGAGATGTAATGGTTCTTGTGCTGGCAGCATCTCAGTCTGCTTTTCCCTTCAGAAAACCACAGTAATGATTTCTAGCCCTTTGTAAGTGTTGCTGATGCACAACAAAATTGATCACAGATAAAAACACCATGATAATACACGTAAATTCCAGGTAACTAAACACATTATCACCTAAGTTTGCTAACAGTTTCTAGGTTATCCACTGTAAATTTTTAATGTAATAACTGATTACAGTGTTCACACACTTAAAAAGATGAGATCCTCCAAGCATGGCGGCCCACACCTGTAATCCCAGCATTCAGGAGGCTTAGGCAAGAGGATCGCCCAAGTTTTAAGGCCGGCCTGGGCTACCTAGTGAGTTCAGAGCCAGTCTGAACTACGTGAGACCGTGTCTGCAAAAACTAAAAGTAAAATAATGAGCTCTTGCGTTAGAGCCTCTTCTGATCATCAGTACACACCTTCCTAGGAGCAATACCATGTTTCCACCTGCAACTGCTGCACACCTGTCTCCAGTAACTTCAACCAGCCACAGTAACAGACAACACTGGAGGTTTCTCCCAAACGGCACAGGGGTGAAGGAGCAAGGTTCGACAAAATTGACAGAAATACATAAAAACCCATTGGCCGTAGCACACACCTGTAATCCTAGTACTCTTGGGAAGCTGAGGCAGAAGGATCGTGAGTTAAAGACTCTTGGAATTTTAAAGGATGAAGGCCCTGGGTTCAGACTCCCACTTGAGGTGGGGGTAAGGACTGAGGTGTAGCTCGGTGCCAAGGTGTAGCTCTAGGTTCCATCTCTAGTACTGGGGGGGAAAAACTAGAAAGCTGTACTCATCAAGAAAGGGGGGTGCCAGCACAAGGACTCCGAACCAGGACAACAGAAATACACGGGGATTGCTTTATCGCCAGCGCAGACCCCGAGTCCATCCACAAGGAAAGGGAAGTCTAACAGATGGTGCTGGAAAGACATCGCATGCGGAAAGTAAGGCTCGGAACCCTGCCACTGTACACACCAGGCACAAACACTGACTGGAATTGCATCTTACCTAAACCTAAGAGTTAATGTCCAAGTGCTCTGAAAGGAAAACGAATCTTTGTGATTTGCGGGAGGCACATGTTTCTTGGGTCACAGAAAACCCTCACAAAAAAGGTAAATTCTGTCTCATCAAAATGAAAATGTTCTGCTCATCAGAAGATACCATCGAAGGACTGCAAACCTACGGCACGTGTGCTGCAGCAGACACAAACAGCCCCCTCTGTCACCATGCATGCCAAGGTGCCCCAGCGCCCAAGCACTGGCCAACAGTTGTTTGTAAACCAAAGCCTCAGGTTTCATTGTTTGCAGTAAATAAGTGGGTTTGGGGTTGCACTTTGGGACTTGGCCTCTAAAAGGTTCGCCACCACTGCCACTAAAATGGATAGGAAAACCACAAATCGGGGAAAGTATTCTGCTACACAAGACATCCCTGACAATGGACTAGCGCCCAGCATAAAGAATACTTAAAGAAGGGGCTGGGGATTTAGCTCAGTGGCAAAGTGCCTGCCTGGCAAGCACAAGGTCGTGAGTTCGGTTCCCGGTACCGGAGAAAAACCTAAAAAAAAAAAAAAAAAAAAAAAAAAAAAAAGAATACTTAAAGCTCAATAAACAGAGAAATACTGGTGGATTAACTAATGGTCACCTTGTAACACCCAGCCGAACGGAATCAGCATGGTGCTGGGCATGACGGCCCCCCGAGGGTCGCTGCCGACAGCGCGAGAGGAGAACTGGAGGGGAAGGTGGTGTGCTGTTGATCTTCCTGGAGGAGCTTGTCACGCTGGTTTTCCTGGTACGAACTCAGCTGTTGTGCTGGAGCTCAGGTCCTCCCTGTCACTGAGGATGGCTGCAGATGAGCTCTTTGGGAGATCTCTGGTCCTTACCTTGAGCATCGCTTCCTGGCTCCAGTGCAGATCCTTCAGCCCGCTGGCACAGACTTCCTAGCTTCCACCACTGACCTTTGGGTCTTCCCAGTGCAGATCCTTGATACAGACTTGCAGGGGACATTGTCGTGGGCTCTAGGCCTCCAGCTGGACTTTAGAAGGACATTGCCATGGGCTCTGGGTCTTCAGATGGACTCACATGGGACATTGCCGTGGGATCTGGACCCTCAGCTGGATTCTCTAGATCTCTCAAACATGGACAGATCTCTTGCACTCCTCTGCATGTGACTTTCTGGGCGAATATTATAAAACAATCCTGTAAATTATGTGTCTTATATTAAATCTATTCCCTTGCCAACCCTGACTACAATAAATACATCCATATTACGGAACATTATTCAGTCATTAAAAAAAAGAAATGGAGCATCAGAGCAAAAGATGATATAGCAGACCTTGCTAACATATTGTCACCAAAAGCCAATCTGAAAGGCTGCCCACTGATTCCGACTACAGGGCGTTCTGGAAAAGGCAAAACTGAGAAGTGAAAAGAGCAGCTCGGTGGGGGTCAGCAGTGAAGTATGGGGTTTTTAGGGCATTGAAACTGTTCTGCGTGAAAGTGTAGTCTAGACAGGTGTCATTATGGCTTTGCCACAAAGAATGAACCTACAGAAACCACGACCTGAGTTAATGTTTCACTCTTGTCAGTTGTGACAAATGTATCACTGACTGAAGGTGTTAATAAGGGAAATGGGAAGTGGTATGAGGAGGGGGAACAAGGTACTTTCCGTTCAATTTTTCTATAAACTGAAAACTGCTCCCTCTCTTCCCACCAGAAAATGGTGGCATGTGCCTGTAATCCCAGCATTCTTGGAGGCTGAGGCAGGTGAGTCCATCGAAAGTTCAAGCACAACCTGCGCAACTTAGTAAGACCCTGTGTCAAAAACTGAAAAAATAAAGGGCTGGTGATGTAGCTCCATGCAAAGGCCCTGGGCTCAGTGCCACTACCCCAAAAAAAAAATTCCATGAAAATGTAAGGGAAGAAAAGCAGTACTAAAAACAACTCATTTTTTTTTTTAAAATGGGCAAGATTTTGTTCAGATACTTCATAGAGAAAATAAACAGTATAAACACATGAAAAAGTGCTCAGCATCATCAGTCATTAAGGAAATGGAAGCTGGTTGTGGTGGCACATGCCTATATTCTCAGCACTCAGGAGGCTGAAGCAGGAGGACTGCCATGAGTTTGAAGCGAGCCTGGGCTATACAGATCAAGGCCAGCCAGAATTACAACTTGAGGGGCTGGGGATTTAGCTCAGCAGCACAGCGCCTGACCGGCAAGCGCAAAGTCATGAGTTCAATCCCCGGTAACAGAGAGAAACAAAACAAAACAAAAAAATTACAGCTTGAGACCGTGTCCAAAAAAAAAAAAAAATACAAACATTATAAGCTACTACTCACTCACCAGCATTGAGGACTGACAACACCATCAACTGAAAACTGGAACCAGATGCTGCTACCTCTGGAAGCGCAAAGCCAAGTAGTCACTGGAACAAGGGTTGGCAGCTTCTTACAAAACCAAACATGTTTACATTGACCAAGACATACCTGAGAAAAAAGACATAAATCCACGGAAGGCCTTGCCCATGAGGATTCGTAGTATCTCTGTTCATACAGCCCAAAGCCAGAATCAGCCCCAGTGCCTGTCCAGCCAATGGGCACACTGTGACGTTCATACAAGGGAGTCCTGCTCAACAGTAAGATGTAACAGCTGGTGGGACAGCGACACTGGTGGCTCACAGCACTGAGCTTCTAGAAGCGCTACTGAAGGAAAAACTAACACCATTTACACGAAGTGCTGGGGCGGGAGAACTAAGCCAAGGTGAGAAAAGGCTGTGATCTTGGGATGCAGGAGGTGGGGACTGGCTGGGGAGCAGCAGCAGGGAGTGTTCGGGTCGGCAGTACTGCCCTGCATCTTGACTAGAGTTTGGGTTACTCTGATATTTGGTCAAAATTTGAGGATACACATTTAAAATTTGTACATTTCAGTGTATATTTTTCATTAAAATATACAAATATTGATGTCTAGTTGTGTATTCTCAGATATTTGGAAGAAAGTATATTAATGTCACTACTTCCTTAGAAATGAAACAAAGCCAGACATAGTGGTGCCTGTAATCCCAGCCCTTGGGAAGCTGAGACAGGAGGATTGCTGTGAGTTTGAGCCCAGCCTGCACTACATAGTAGAATGCTGTCTCAAAAAAATAAAAATAACACAAAAACAGAAATGAAAGGGTGAGGAGAGATGGAGGATGGAGAAGTCAGTGGCTGTTACATACAGTAAAAAGGTTATAGTTTATCACAGAAACCTTGCCCAACCCTGCTGCATGCCTAGAAGTTTTTATAATAAAATGTTCTCACCAACAGTTTAAATAAATGGGATTTAAGGAGTGGAAGACCTGACATTACAGCCCTGCAATATGACTGGGATTTTAGTTTAATAAACAATGAGAACAAATGGATAAAGGCAGAACAGCTTGCCTGAAACAAGTCAGAAAACATCAAACGAAGTAGCAAACGGAAGCGGGCTCTGGTAGGCTTTCTACCCTTCCTCGGCGGTCTCCACACCTTCAGTCTGGGCAAGTTCGTGTCCCCCCCATAGCAATCTGCACAGGAAAGGTGGACAGGCGGTCTCTACTCGGTGAGTTAGCTGGATCCCAGAGGCGTCTCGGTACCCGCCTCTACCAGCTGGGATGAAGGGCCCCTCTCCAGGTCACCCACTACTAGACAATGCCCGAGGTGCCCAGGCCGAGGCCTCCCTGCCAAGGGTGGCAGTGGTAAAGCATCAGCGAGCAGGGGAGGCCAAGGGCAGGGACAGTAACCTCTGAGGTAGTGTCCTGAAGGGGACAGTGCCCTGTTCTCACAAACAAGGGCTGGCTATTCAGAGATAGCGCAGTCCCCAAGAACAGAGCAGGTACATACACCCCGGGGAAGTTCATCCGCGTGCTGGGCCATGTGGCGGCCTCTACACGACCATCACATGTTGAAGAGATGGGCGGAAGTTTTGCTGTTTTATAGATGAGATTAATCCTTTAAGTAAATGGCTTGTCAGGGTGCCCCAGGACTTGAGCACACCTCAGTCCTGAGCGAAGACCCTCAGCTGCTGCCGTCAGAGGCAGCCGGCACTGACTACGGCTCACCTGGGGAAGCCCGAGCCAGAACGAACCAGAAATGGCGTCCACCCCCCGTGCTGTGAGTGCAGCCTCAGGTACCTTGCAGCCTCAGCTTGGGCACCGGGTGGCGAGGGCAGGAGCGTGGCAACCGAGCCCCGGCCACCTCCACAACCAGACTGCTCATTCCGCAGGAGCAGCTGGCTTTCAGGCCCAGCCATTCTTGGATCATCCATGCGCCCCACTCTCCCCACCCCACCCCACTCCTCCACGGCCCCCCTCGGCGACAGCTCCAGAGCCCAAGGCCAGCAGGAAGCTCTAGGGTTGGGACTGCCAAGGACGGCTCTAAGGTGCTTCCGGTGACTCTTGTCACGCGGCAGTTGCACACCGGCCACTCGGCAAGCCCTGTCCCCACTGCTGGCACAGCGCAAGCTCCCCCGAAGCACACGCTCTAAAATGCCCACAGAAAGTGCTCTGCCCGTGTGTCATGTCCCACTGAAACGAGTGACACCCAAGGGGCTCTCCGTCTGCCCAGAATGACTGGTCCCGGAAACGGCAAGGCTGCCTGGGCCCGGGTACGCTCCAGGTCCCCCCGGTCAGGCCCCAGGGTGCTCTGGGTCCAGGCCACGAGCACTCTGCCCGGGAAGCACCGGTAGCCGCTTGGAATCAGGCGGCTCCTCGTCTCAGGCCACGCTCCTGCACTGCCGAGGAAAATCACCAGACTGCCAAGCCGCTTGAGTTAAAGTCTCCATTTATTTTTTTTTTAATTTACTTTTTTTTTTTTTTTACAAAAATCCAACGTAGGACCATTGTGCTCATGGTTGAGGGTGGGGTGATGGACATGGGACATGGCATGACAGCAAAGAGCTCCCTTACAAGGAGCGCCTCAAGCCGGGCAGCTCAGGGCCAACGCGTGCCGCCCTGGATGAACAGGACACAGGAGCCCCGAAGAGACGCGGCCCACACCACACAGACCAGCGTGGGGGTGCAACAGCCCAGCACAGCCCAGTGAGCACCCCAGGTGGCTGCCCTCAAGGGGAAGCTGAGGCCAGGTGACAGACTGACCCGTGGATAGCCAAGGGGACTGGGGCCGGGAGGGCTGCTCTCCAGTGTCCACGTCCCTGCTGGGTGTCCCCGTCCACCTGCTAGCATGGCAGCTGTCATTCCCAGAAGCACCTGTGAGGCCACATGGGGTGTCCTGTTCCACCTCATGTGCCCAGGCCAGTCCTTAAGGTCATGGTCAGTGTCCACTACGGCCTGCATGTGACATCCTTTAAGCTACTGTCCTGGCAGGTCCCAACCGTGCCATCCATGTCTGTCGCTCTGATGTCACAGCTGCCCTGCAGCGCACAATGATGGCATCCACTGAGTGACAGACACTCACAACCTCCTGACCTGGCCCCAGAGAATGGGCTCCCTGCGTCAGCGTCCAAGTTCTTCACGTTAAAAGAAACAATAAAATAGCAGCCACGGATACAGCTCAAAACACCACACTCTTTGGCTCTCCTAAAGGAAGGAGGCTACTGCTAAAAAGAATCAAGTCAGAAGTCAGGAAAGGGCAGTTAGCAGGGCGCCCAGACCCTCTGCTAGTCACAGGAAAGCGTGACTCAGGTTCCCGGGGAGCAGCCTGGCACCACCTGCCGGCGAGCGGAGGTCCCTGGGCCCACCAGGCAGTGGGGAACCCCAGGAAAGAACCCATTCAGACAGACAGGAGAGCAGTGTGCACCCCAGGAAAAGCAGCACAGGATGTCAAGATCCAGGAAAGACAGGGCGGGCTTAAGGCATATGCATGACCAGGACAGACCTGAGCTTTTGTTCCGTTTCTGGAAAACTTCTCAACTCACTCAAGAAAGTGGGGCTCGGAAAAACAAGTTAAGGGCCAAATCTCTGACAAGTGATAACCTTCCATTTCCCTACGCCACCGTGACCAAAATGAGCTTAGTTTACTTCCAGCCCAGGGAATAGAAATTTAAACCTGTGGAGGAAAATAGCAATGTGGGTGCAAATGCCTGCAAATTCCTGGCATCCTTTTCAAAGGGTGGTGGTGCTGTTAGTGAAACTGACAGCCGAAAGTCAATGAAAATCGAAATCAAAATGGTGAAATCAGGACTGAAGTTGAAAGTAAAACTGAAAGACCTGGTTGAGCGTCTAGAACACCAGTGCTCGAAGGCTGAGGAGATGAGGGCGGGGTCTCAGCCGTGAAGGGAAACCAGCACCAGGCCCAACCCAAGCGCAAGGAACAGTGAACTTACGGCCCCTCCACGAAAGTGTCATTTGTGCTGACCTCTCAGCAGCGTGGTGCAGCACTTGTATTACCAGTCAGCTTCTGCAGGGTCATGGCCCGAAGCAACATCCTACACTGGCCTGAACAAGCCACAGTTCCAAATCTCGGACCCTGAGGCTGTGTTTTATAGATCTTGCTGTATTTAATATTAATAGCAGAGGAATTCCTCTCCTATTTTTACAATGCTCTTTTGTGTATTTTTGTACACTTACAACTCCAGTATTTAAGCAGATGATCGTCTTGGTAACTGAGGAAGAACGTATTATATCTAGAACATGCCTCACTTTTTATTGTCTTTTCCAGCTCTTGTCTGAGTATTTCTCTGACACTGCTGTTGATTAGCTACAGGAACACACATTTAGACTTTCGAGTTAAGGATGTGAGGATCAGGCCAATGATAAAGTCCTTCTAGGAAGCTGGTGAGAGTTTTTCTTTACTCCTGTGAGAATTTTGTGTATGTATTCTCTCTGATATTTATTAAAAAAATTTTTTTTAAATAAAGAGCACTGTTAGAAAAGCAAAAACAAAAAAGACCAAACTGCTCCTTCTCCCACTGCCCTTGCACACTCCGAACCCCAGGGGTCCCGCAGGCGGCCTAGCATGAGAGGTCCAAAGCCACAGGTAACAGGTGAGGGGAAGGTGAGTTTCCCCAAGGAAGCTCCCCAAGGCAGGTGCCCTGCCGTACGCCTTCCCGGCCAGCGGGCAGGACCCTCCACGGATGCACGCCCAGCCTGCACAGCCCTGGGCCAACGTGGCAGCACAGCCTGCAGCTTCTGCTCTCCCATCGAAGGGAGAAAAACCTGCCAGAAAGCCCAGTGCCAAACCTAGTTTCTTACCAGGAGGACAGGCCTGCTTCTTCCTCCTTCTCTGCCTCCTTAGTCTCCTCTCCCAAACAAGGGTGAGAATGGAGCAGGGTGAAGTCCTGGGACAGTGCGGCCTAGGAAGTTCTCCAAAACCACCAGGTCCAGTGGAAGGCCACTCACGGCTCACCAAGGTGCAGGTCCTCCCAGGACCACCAATGGGAGGAGCCAAGTCACAGATGGACAACCACAGGGACAGGCACAAACCAGCAGGGCTTGTCTTGTCCGTGGACCCCTCAAGAGGCCAAGTCTATGCTTCTCCTGTTTCTAGGCTCAGCCGCCCTGCGAGCAAGGAGAGGAAAAGCACAGGCCAGCTCATGCCGGCCAGGACCCACTTCCACTGAGACACGGAACCCGCGGGGCCTGGCGGGTCCCTCCCTTGAGGGAGAGGCAATGACTTCCAACTCCCCCCATCATATATATATGTATATATATATGTATATGTATGTGAATGTGTGCATATATATGTATATACACACATATATGTATATATACACACACTTATATAAATAAGCCTTGAATGGCGGATCTGGAACTTTCTTTTTAAATAGTAATAGTTGTTACAGAATTTTAAAAACCTCAAACCAGCTGTCCTGGGCTTCTGAACTCACAAGTGACTCTCCGAGCCCCCGTGGTCCTCAGTGTACGCTATCCGTCAGTGCCGTGTGGAAGCCCTGATCTGCCGACCCGGGTTCCAGGCCCAGTGTGGCCGACTTCAAGATAAAGGCAGCTATTTCCCCTCCACTCTTCCTGCTGCCTCTCCTGGCAGAGGTGTGGGCCGCCCACCCAGCAGATGTCCTCAAGCTCCTTCAGTGCCTGGGACCTCGGGAGCCACCTCCCTCACGCTGCCCGCCCACGCCCCGCTCGCAGCACCCCTAGATGAACTTGAAGCACTTGGTCTTGTCATGAGGCAGGCGCGTCTTGAACAGCACGGAGTCCACCCTGAACTGAGTGTACAGCAGGGGCATGTAGCCGTACACCTTGACAAAGAAGTTGATGCACTTGTGCCGCTCGTGGAAGTGGGAGTCATCGTGCGACAGGGCCTGAGGGCATCCCGGGCATCGGAAAGTCCAGCGGGACGTCACCTGGGAAGAGGGAAAAGGGCACAGTGACAAGGCGCTGACACCGACAGGGACCCTGCGGCTCTGCCAGCTCAGTGACCAGGTGAAGCCCAGGCCTGCAGACCCGCCAAGCGTCACCATCTGATCCCGTACCTAACACCTTTACGGCTACGAAGGCATCCTTTCCCAGTGGCCTACGCTTAATAGCAAAAGCCTCCAAACACGTAAGTGTAATTTCGCTCAGTAACTCTACTTCCAACATTTATCTTGGCTGCACAGGAAGGCTGGTACAAAGTGCATTCCATCGATGGTTTTCACAGTAAAATACCGGAAAACCATCCACACACAGGAACTTAGCCCTTGCCTGGCCTGTGCTAATGCACGCAAGGGAACGGAACCGGGCTTTCTGGTGCTGACTGTGAGCCGGCTTACTATAGGCAAACTTACTCAGTAACTAAAAAAAACTCAAGTTTCTAGACTTCTGAAGGTACTTCTACTTTTGAGCAAATACCTTATTTAAGTACTTACCTACCTGCCAGGCACTATTCTTAGAGCGTTAGCTGTATCAGCTCAGGAATTCTTACTTTGTTTTTCTTGATGGACACTCCTACTGTACCCTCTCATTTACCAGTCTGGTGAAGCCTGGACTCCCGAATGTTTTTAAATACAATAAAGTACATGGGATTTAAAGGAAACTATGCTGAAATATAGTAATATACCTGCTCTCTTATTAACACAATAACAAGATGTAGGGAAAGGTAACAACTGCCATAATGTCAAAGCGATGAGGAACAGAAACATTAAGATGCTGCGACAAATGTGACACAGAGGTATCTGTGATTTCTTCAGGTGACCCATCAGTTAAGGCACATACTCTCAGGAACTTGAGTCTGTTTCGTATCTGAAGGTCACACGTGAGTAAAAGTAACGATGCCTGACTTTATGGGGGTTCCAAACCCTCTGAGTCCCATCCACCAGCCTCAAGGGTTAAAAAGCCTGGAAGTATGCACTCATGTAATCCCATGACAATCCTGAGAGGAAGGTGGTGTCCTCACCCACTTCAGAGAAGAGTCCCTGAGGTACGAGGTTGTCACAAACTGCCACAGCGCAACAAGAGAAGGCTGTTTGCGCAAGCGCAGTCCCACAGGGCCCAGGCCCTCACCTTGATAGGGGGTTTCCGAGTGATATGGGAGACAAGGAAGTTCATGGCGATGTCCTCACAGTTGATGTATTCGTCCACCATGTCTCGGATGGCCTGGGGCATCACGTAAGAATACAGGTAGGCATAATACTGCCAGGGGAGGAAAAGCAGTCACACTGTTAAAGGACACTTTCCAGCTTTCGGCAAAAACACACCTGGGTCTCGGGGCTGGGGTTCCGCTGTGGCAGTAACAGAAGCACCGCGCGTGTAGGAAGCTGGCGCCGGGGCTGCCAGGTGCCTTGCCACGCAGCTCTTCCGCAGTGAGCAGTTCTGCTGAGTGCCAGTGTCGCCCTCTCCGAGAGACGGAGCAGCGCTGAGTCCTGCTGGTGTCTCGGAAAGGTGGAAACCGGTGTAAAAACCTGTCAGACCGAGGGGACACTGGTTCAGGCGAACAGTGTTCAGCCTCTGACCGCGGGAACAAGCGGTGAGTGAGGTGGAAAGAACACAGAGCTCAGGGATGCCACGAGGCGTCCGAGCCATCACTACCTCGCTAAAGGGCTCCTGAGTGGCGGACACGGTTGCTCTCTGGATGTCCGCCCAAAGCCTCGTGCACTCTCAGGTGCGAGGCGGGCAGATCACAGGGTGTGAGGCTCATCACGGGCTGCTCAGTCCACTGACGAGTTTACAGCCAACCGTGACGCTGTGAGGTGGGTCACTGGGGCGTGGCCTGGGGCGTGGTCCATCTCCCTCGCTCCTCCACTGACCACTCTGCTTCCGGCCACCTCGCTAGGCATGGGCTGTGCCTTCCCTCTGCCACGCTGCCCTGCTTGGGAGCCAGCCAACTATGGACCGAGCCTCTACCAACTGCGAGCCAAAGTAACTTTTCCTCCTTGGAGGGTACCAGGCACGTCTCAGTGATGGGAAAGTAGGACGTCACTTCTCACCACTGCCACGCACTACTCCCTGCCCCCGGCCACCCTCATCTGTCCGTCTCCCCCAGTCTCCCTGCTGCACTAAATCTCAGCACAGCAGTGGCCACGTCGGAGCATGGAGCCAACTGCACACGTCACACCCTTCTCCCCACCCTCCCAGGGCTTCCCATCCCTCAGGGGAACAGCCACAGTCCTTCAAACTCCCCCGCAGGCCAGCCTGTACAGCGGCAGTCCCAGCCACTGGAGGGGCTGAGGCAGGAGGACAGCAAACCTAAAGCCAGCGTAAGCAACACAGCAAAACCCTGTCTTAAAAAAGACGACAAGTCCCACAAAGCGGTGCACGGAAGCTGGCACCTGCTGACAAATTCTAACCACTGACTCTTTGGGAATTTAGTGAACGCTAAACACAGTCATTATTAAGAAAGTAATTATGTGCGTTAAAAATTAATGCAGTAAATGTCCAAAACTTACTACTTCTTACTACTGAATCTGCGGCAGACGCTGCGCAGGGGTGCACAGCTGCACACTCCTTCCCACCTCCCTCATCAGTGACTCACGCCCATAACCTCACATCAGCCAGAGCACAGAGACTGACACCACAGAACTGGAGAACGCCAAGAGCAAGGAAGAGTTGCCAGAGGCTGGTGATAAGCGAAAGAATAGGGGAAGAGCACAACTAAACTGACTTGCACATTTCATCACCTTAGTGCAATCTATACAGAGGAATGATAATCATAAAAATTTGTTTAGCAGAGTAGTGTGCTGGTTAATGTGCACAAAAGTACTTCAGGGGCAGTGATCTTAAAAACTGAATTACACTTTTTTAATAAAAAGATTTAACGTAATTCTAATTTGTTGATCCTTTAAATAGCCCGTGGCTATGATTAGTATGCTAATGAGAACACATTAATTAAATACTATCTGTACCTTCAAGGAAAAGGTGACATTTTAACAATAAGAAGCAACTGCAATTTAAAAAAAAAGATGGAGAAACCGTTATGAAAAGAAACTTTTGGAAGTACTTCCAGTATGAAATGGTGTTATTGCCAAAGTATGTTTTATATTAATCTCTTAAAACATGTACCTGTACATTTGAAAAACAAAAACTTTTCTAACCTCTTTTAAAAGGATTTTTTTGGGATGGAGCCAGAGCTCAAATCCAAGGTCTCATAGATACCCCAAAAGTGCTCTACCCTGAGCTACAACCTGACATCAAAGCTCTTTTAAATTAAGATTCAACAGATTCACAACCTACTCTAAAATACAAAAATACACCTTTCCATTAGTTTGCTAAAGTTTGCAACGATACCACAGAAGATAGAAATTAGAGTTTCTCAAAAAATAATATCAAGATGTAGATAAGACTGGAAAACATGAGTATCATGATTTAAACAGCAATAAGGTACTTTTTCCAGAGAGTGATTAAAGCAAAGTATGAAAACATTAAGTAGGGCAAGATGGTGCACACCTATAGTCTCAGTAACTCAGAAAGCTGAGGTAGGAAGACTGCTTGAACCTAGGAGTTAGTCTGGGCAACAAAGCAAGATGCCTTCTTTAAAAAAAAGATCTATGGGTGCCAGGGACATATAGCTCCGTGGTACAAGTGCCTACCTGGCAAGCGCAAGGTCCTAAGTTAAATTCCCGGTAACAAAAAAAGATCTATGACTTGCCATAACAGTGTAAAATCAGTATTTTCAAAACTAATAAAACATTCAACTACATTGCTTTCTCCAAAACTGAAGAATTCAGGGAGAACATTTTGAAATTTCACTTCTAAATAGCTCAACCTTTAAAAGATTTCTGTAAGTATAGCAGTATACACAGTATAAATAAAATATATGTATGTTAGGAACATGTTCAAAAAGTTTTACTAATAGGCACTTACGATTAAAAAAAAAATATTCACTGCTGTAGCTATGGTAGGGAAGATCAATTTAATTACCACCGAGGGCAAGTAAGCGAGGCAAGTAAGAGACATGTCAGACAAACGTGAATGAGAAAGCTGGGAGCGAGGGCAAACGAGTGTGCACAGGCCTCTCCAGGGAGCGCCACAGCTCCAGCCAGTTTCTGCCGAACTCCACGAGGGCTTCAACTTCATTTTCACTGCAGTCCAGACTTCTTGTAAAATCCCGTAATTTTTAAAAGCTGGCAGTGTCTGAGACAACACTGCGGACCCAGAACACTTCTGTGAGCCGAGTGTGGCTCAAGGGCTTGAGTTTGTAACCTCTGCTCCAAATGTTCCAATGGGAAAAACATGAAGCTTCATTAAATACATTATTCCTCTAGAACTAAAGGGACCTGACCATTAACTTTCACAGCCAGAGTTTGCACAGGCAGACCCCTCAGCAGACAAGTAAACTGTCAAGGTAGGAGCAGAACTGAGAGAAGCCTGGGCTCCTGAAGGGAGCAACTGTGGAAATAAATGACTTCTCATTAGGCCTGGTTTCCCAGGCAGCCATCCTCCAACTCCCTGGCCCTCGCCCCAGCCTGGCCACGGTCCAAGTTGAGAAATGAATGAGATGTGCACAGCAACCTCACACATTGTTTTAAAAAGAAAAAGAAGCTGCAAGGTTCATGACTTCTTAGTCTAGTTCAAACTGTCCCTAAATATGACTTAAAGTCTAGCCCACGGTGGGCCCACGGTGAGGCAGAACACAGCAGGAGGAGCCGGTGGCAGAGGAGGCTGCCCACCTGTGGTGGCAGGAAGAAGCAGAAAAGGGGGCCAGCTCCACTCCAAGGCCACACCCCCAGTGACCAGCTTCCTCCGACCAGGCTCACCTCCTACTGCTTCCTCCACCTCCCAGTGTGCGTCGTCTAGGGGAGCTGTGGGACCCTTCAAGATCCCAACCACAACAGCAGCTTCAGTCCTCTGATGCTGGGCCACATCTGGGATGGCAGTGCTGAAACTGAAGGTACCCCACAGCTCTTTTGGCCCCGTGCCCTCAGGTTAACAGAGGGAGAGCCAACTCCAGGAAAGAGAAGCCAGTGCCTCCCCTCTGGCCTGATCTCTACACACACCCTTCATCCCGACTTTTTATTGCAGAGCTGCTGTAAGCGTCTTGATCAGTGTCTTTAAAACCAGGAATGACCCTTAGCATAGAGGGGTAACATACAGAGCAGGAGGAAAACTAATGCTTAGGGCAGCAGTTCAGTACCACGCAAAAGCTCACCTCCTCCTAAGTGCGTCACACTGCGACCAGCGCTCTCACCTTGTGAAAGAAGGCAGCACCCGTCAGCACCATGGACAGCTCACAGGAGTAGTTGGAGTTGTAGAGCCAGGACTGGTGAGGGATGTCCCACGCATGGTACCGGCCAGGGAAGCCTACGATGCGGTCCCGCGCTTCTCTCCACACCCTCAAAAACACAAGTGAGCACACACCTGAGTACACAGCTCTCAGGCTATCAGGGTAGTGAACTATCTTGTAGGCTCTGGCCTGTGGGGTTGTAATTTTTTTTTAAAATAAAATCAATCATAACCCCACTGGGATAAAAACCAGTAAACAGTATCGTAGAAAGCTTCCTTATTAAGTACGTGTTTATTTTCCCTCATTTTTCTCAGCTATCACCTCTCCAGTCTCATGGAAAGAACCAAACTGAGATAACATGGGAAGGAATTTTCAGAATACAGTAGTTATAACAATCGGCCAAGAGGCAGAAAGAAGGTATTAATTTTCTATTTTTTTTTCTTGGGACAGGGTCTCACTATGTAATTCAGGCTGGCCTTGAACTCACAACAATCCTCCTGCCTCAGCTTCCCAAGTGCTGGAATTACGGTCATGCACCACCAAACCTGGCTCTAATTTAGTTTCTTAAAGATTTATTTTAATGAGCAAGATCCACTAGTTCAGTGGGACACATATGCACATATGTGACATCCCCAGAGTGCGTACTTAACTTTTCTTTCTCTAGGAGGGCACACAGTGAGAACAGTTTAGAGCCCCCGGGCCTGGCCCCTGCAGAGGGCTCCTTCAGGAAGAGCACTGGTCCTAAACCCTAAACTGCACAGGGCTGAGGGTAAACTGCCTCGTGAGTTGAGAGCTCTCTATGGAAACATAAAAACCACAGGTCTCTTTAAATGCAAGAAACAAACCGAGACTTCAGTATGTTTCAGCAGAAACCCATCATTTTCCAATTTATAGGTAAAGGAGAACAAGCAAAATCAGTCCTCAGTTCCTCAGGCTTTGAGCAGAAGCTGAAAGAAAGCTCCAAAGAACCCAACAAGCGCTGAAGGGTCCAGGAGATAAGAAGCTGCCTGAGGACCTCTTACCATTGACAGGCAACTTCAATTCCTAAAGCATGGAGGACTTCGTTTGAAAGCAGCACCTCTCTTCGTAAGTTTGAAAGCAACTAATCCAGTCTAACAGGTGACAAATCATGACACGTGGCACAGTGTAACAGCCTTGTGGGCTTTCTTTTCAGACAGCGGACTTTTTTATTGTGCCAACTATGCACAAGTACCATTTTAACCCTTTTTAAGGATGCACAGCTCAGAGACATTAAAGATATCTATACTGTTGTGCGACCACCACCACCATCCACCTCCAGAACTCTCCCACCCTCCCACGCTGACACTGTATCCCTCTGATGAGACCTGGCCTCCCCTCCCTAGCCCCGACCCTCCCCGATCTCCTTCCTGGCTCTCTGGAGCGGACTCTCTAGGGGCCTCACGTAAGTGCAATCGCTCAGCATTTAGCCTTCTGGGTTTTCTCTGACAGATGCTGCTGCTACGATCACTCATGTCTGCCTTGTGGGTGGACATGTGTTTCTGTTCTCTCGCATGTCTGCCTTTTTCTTAACTGCTTAGGTCGACGTTAGTCAAGGCCTACATTTTGCCTGAGAGAAGAATTCTTTCACTCAACTTTTTTCCCTTTGAACCTAGGTCTGTTTCACTCTCATTCAAGTGAAATAAGCAAATTGGGGAAATTAACAGAAACAGAGTTTTTAGATCAAAGAATGCCCAAACAGATCAGAAGAGTACCAGTGGGGAAAGGTTAGGATGTACAGCCAGAGACAATTTACATTTCTACTACCCAAGGCTAACCTCCAATTCTGAATGATTAAGAGACGCATTAAAAGGCATCCCAACCAGGCAGGGTGGCACAGGCTTGTAATCCCAGCACTCGGCAGGCTGAGGCAGGAGGATTGCTCCAAGTTTCAGGCCAGCCAGAGCTACACAGTGAGTTCAAGGCCAGCCTGAACTACACAGCGAGACCCTGTGTCAAAAAAAGAAAGAAAAATCAAAACCCAAACACTAAAAAGGCATCCCATTATTTTCTCACCACCTGGAAAGCTGTGGAAAAATGGCAGAGAAAAGGTGAAAAGTCTTCTAAATGAGGAACTACAGGAAGACAGGATATGCCAGTATACGAATGAAATTCAAACTCATTAAAGTGGGACTCCTCCTCTGAATCATCCTTGGGATCCAGAGCCGGCAACTCACAGCTGTGGTTCACACCACAGCTCTGCTCACAGCACCCCAAGCCTCAGCAGACACTGTGTCAGGCCGCACCAAACCCCGTTTCTCACCGCCAGTAACAACCTCTGCAGCAGCAAAGTGCATTTCTGGAGCTGTTTCACCACTTGCTTTCCTTCATAAAAACAGCTATTTATTATCATGTGCAAAGGAATACACCCCAGTTTAGCTAGATTTCTTTTTAATCACAGCTAGCAACAGAAACTTGGCTTAAAAATATACTAGAAGGCCAAAGGAAATGTGGGAGGTTGGTGGGAGGAGAGAAAGAATAGATGTTCTAATCTGTCGGAAATGTGTCAAATTATTCCTTACAGATGGATTTAAGGTAGATCCAGCGGAGAAGTCGCTACTCCTTTCATATCTTTTCATCTGTGCATCTCTGCTTACAAACTCGAGCCAAAGGAGCTGACAGGGGGACAGGTCAGGTCAGATGTTCAGAACAGAATGGACACATGCAGAGAAGAGCTCTCTCTCCTGAATCAACCTTAATTTGAACAAAACCTCCAGTGCCTCTCAAACGTTCTGTGGTCAACCAGAAACTCACTATAGGTTAGTTTTTTGGTAAAACACTATGAAAATGAACTGCAAAGATTCTTGGGAGGGGAGGGGCGGGGTCTCGCCATGTAGTCCAGGCTGGCCTTGACCTCATTACATAGCCCAGGCTGGCTTCTAACTCACAGCAATCCTCCTGCCTTAGCCTCTCCAAGGATTGGATTACAGACATGTGCCACCACATCTGGCTTGCATGGATTCTTAAATGGGATACGTACAGTACAAAGAAAACACAGACATATTGGACTTCATCAAAATTTAAAACTTTGTACTTCAAAAGACATCGCCATGAAAAGTGAAAAGGCAGCCCACCAAGTGGGAGAAATTATTTGCAGCTCATATCCCTGATAAGGGTCTTGCACTGAGAATACATAAAGAACTCACACAGCTCAATAATAAAAAGGCACATGCAGGATCTGAACAGACATCTGTCCAAAGATACACAAATGGCAACTGGTCCATCAGCACATGAAGAACTCAACACCCTTAGTAATCGGTGAATACAAATCTAAACTATAATGAGCACTTCGCACCAACTTGGTGTTGGTAAGGATGTGGAGAAACTGGAACAAGAAGTAAAAATGACCCAAAATGTCCACCAACGAGTGGGCGAACTAAGTGTGGGGCGGCCACACAGAAGGATGAAGCGCTGGCACGTGCTACCGACAGGCACACCTTGGAAACATGCTGCTGAGTGAACGAAGCCAGTTATTCCATGGTTTCAGGTACATGCAATGCCCAGGATAAGCACTTGGAGAGACATGAGTTTAGCCTCGCAAAGGCTGGCAGAAAATGGGAGTGAAAACTCACAGCCACAGGGTTTCTTTAGGCGGTGATAGAACCTTTTACAAAACCAATGAATTGTATAATTAAAGGAGTTAATTGTATGGTATAGGAATTTGTTCAATAAATGGTACCAAAAGATACGAATTACAAGAAAAATGATCCTAAACCTGGTATCACACAAAATGTCCAGGTGCTATAGGAGTTCCAACCAGGCATGGTGGTGCACACCTACAACCCCAGCACTCGGGAGGCTGAGACAGGAAGCTTAAAGCTGGCCTGAGCTATACAACAAGCCCACGTCTCAAGAAATAAACAAGTGCTACACAAGTTTTGAAATGCTCGCCCTCCCTTTCAGTACTCACCTCCCTGTGGATACGTAACACACAGCCGTCCTGGCCCTCCACACTCTCACCCACTATGCCCTGACCGGGATCCTGAGCCCTAACAGCAGGCAAGTCCCACGATGGAGTGGGCAGCAGAGTGCAGTGGCTGAGGGAGAGCCCCAGCCTGTCCAGCACTCATCTTCTAGCTTCATGGCTTCGCTCTGCAATCTCAGTTACTCACTGGGTACAACCCCCACTCCTACTCCGAGTTCTTCAAGGACCAGTTAGAAAAACCAAAGGTGCGGAGCTGGTCTTGCCACACAGTCTGGGCTCACACAAGGTGAGTAGTAGCAGCCGCAGCAGCAGCTTCTCCCAGCCCTTTCTTCCCACTGGAGCTTTGTTTCCAAGTCCACCTGCCCCGCATGGCTGTGAGCCCTGGATTCCTGCCCCGTTCCACTGCTCTACACAGAGCCATGAGCTCCTTCCGCCTGTCAGGAAGTCGGTTCCCACTCCTGACCATAGAGGCCCCCAGCTTCCTCTAGAGAACTACTCAGCCCACAGGGTATGCATCTGAGGGTGATGATCCAGGAGCGCAGCCAACCAAAGAACTCCGCCTCCCGGTCCCGGGAAAGGGCCCCTCTGTGCGCAGAGCAGAGCAGGCGAGCCCATCTTATGTCAGCACTTTCAGCCTCCCAGCATCTCTCCACCCCCGTGACCAACACATCCGTCTGCTGCCTCATTCAGGCTGGAGTTCTGCCTCTAAAAACTGAGGGCCCCTGGACAGAGAATCGCCCTCACCGAAAGCCAAACATGATCTCATCATGGCGGAGGTGGGCGTCATCATCGATGGACAGGATGGCCTCTGTCTCAATCTCATTCCAGGGCAGGAAGCGATTGTTCAGACTGTTCTTCTCGGTCCGGACCACCTGCAGCGAGGGAGCGGAGGCACAGGTGTCAGTGCTACGTGAGGGGAGGAAATCGGGACATGCCGGCAGACAAGGACAGCTGCGGCCATCCTGACTGAAGACTGCACCTAATCACGACCGCTTATCCAGTCCGGCACACATTTCAACAATAGTACCACCTGAGAATTCAAGAAATATACAATAAAGAGTGCATATTTTAAGTGTTATTCATGAACTGATTCTGATTTCCTGGTGGGAAAAAGTAATGTGAGCACTATTTTACAATAAACCGCACCCTATCCAGGGAGATTAAAAATAACTTTTTCAAGAGAACACAAGGTGGCAGAGCAGAACTGAAATTCCAGGTCCCAGCTCCGGAATCACCCTGCTGGCCCAAACATTTTAAAAACAAACCCAGAAACCCCTCTGATCTGTATCCTTAAGGCCTTTTTTGATAGTTAAACTGACAGGAAAAAAGCAGAGGCTATTCTATTGACGTAACTACTTCATCTTTGTAACGCCCATCCACAGCACTAACTACACATACAAAAGCTCAGTTTTTTGTTAGTTTTCTGAGACAGGGTTTTGCTTTGTAGTTCAGGTAGGCCTTGAAGTTATGGCAATTCTCCTGCCTCAGCCTCCTGAGTGCTAGGATTACAGATGTGCACCACCATGCCTGGCTTCTCTCTTTGTAATTTTATTTTGAGACAGGGCCTTGCTAAGCTGCGAGGGTTGGGCTCAAGCTCAAGATCTTCCTCCCTCAGCTTCCCACAAAGGCAGGGTTACAAGTGTGTGCCACCACGCCCTGTACTCTTTTTATTCTTTAGCTGTATTAGTCCAACTAACGAGCCACCATTGTATTCTCAAAAAGGAAAGAGAATCTCATGGGAAACCACCTCTTTACAAAACCAACAGGGTCATCTCACTTTCAACAGGTGGCTTTACTTATATGAATGACTAGCTCCACCCGGCACGACGCACTCCTGGGCCCTCACTGGCATCTTCAGCTTCCAACACCTTTCCTTCCATTCTTACCTCAAAATCACTCTCCTGAAGACCCAGCTAAGAGCCTCTTGTCACCCACACCCCACGCCCGCCACTTATCAGACTGAATCACTTTTTCTGTGTTCTGGATGCAGAGAACTCCTACTTCAGTGAATTCATTCTAACATCCTTACAATAGAATTTACTCAGATAGAAGGGCCTTGGAGATAATGTGGTCCAAGTGTCCTTTGCAATGGACAAGCTAAGGCCTAAGAGACATCATGCAAGTGGTAAGCTGCAAGCGCCTGAGCTCTCAGTGGTACCAACTCACTCCAAATTCAGTCTTCTTACTGCTACATCCATGTTAACTTTATCAATTTCCTACCAAGCCACCATAAAAAGTCCCTCCTCCCCTCTTCTGTCCTTGTACCAGGGTCCTAACCCAAGACCTCAGGCATACCAGACAAGTGCTCTGCCTCCGAGCTATAGCCCTAGTCCTTTTTCACTTTGAGACAGAGTCTAAGTTGCTGGCTTCAAACTTGTGATCTTCCTGCCTCAGCCCCCCCAAGTGGCTGGGATTATAGGCATGCACCACCATGCCACCCCCAAAATGCATTATTAATGTATGCACCATTGAGGAAAACAGTGCTAATTATAAAAGCATGTGAATAACTGATCACTTGGAATGCTACCACATCAAAAAGCTTTTCTCAGACTTTGCCTCAGCCCCACCAAAGTTCCAACCCAAATCAAGACAAAGTGGGCTGGGTGCAGTTCAGCGGCACAGCACGTGCCTCCCCTACTTGAGGCTCTGAGTTTGATTCCTGGCACAAGCAGTAAAGAAAGATAAGACATCCACCAGTAAAGATAGACCCGGACCCACACCTCTGCAATAGTAGATACTGCATGCCCCAGCCAGGCGCCACAAACTGAAGTCTGTACTCTGTAGCATGGCTCACTGGTCCAGAGCAGGGGCCTGAATGCAGACGGTGTGGTAACAGCGCGAAGGAGCTGAGGCAGGCTCAGGATGCAGACAGGGTGGCCACCAAGTGCTCAGCTCACAGCGGCTGAGCTCCACTCCCCAGGGACAGCAGGGTAGCAGAAGTGGCAGGAGCCAAAGGCATGCCCAGTGCTGGTCCAATGCAGTCTAGGTCTACCGTACAAAGGCGTCGCAGTGTGAACAGTTCCATCTCAGACGGCATGGAGGATGTAGCTATTCGCTCTAACTCCCCCACACCACTCATTTTCCTTTCTTACACTACAGCATTCACTTCACCAAACTGCAAGCTCCACCAGGTCAGCTGCCCAAAACTCCTCAGCTCCAGCAGTGAATACGCAGAGCTAAGAGTCCAACAATGAATATACACAGCTGCCGATATTTCATAAATTCAGTTCTTAGCTGGGTGTGGTAGTGCATGCCTGTGATCCCAGCACTCAGGAAACTGAGGGATTTTGCTTCCTCCCCCCGGCGGGGGCTGGAGGGTCTGGCAACGTCTGATGACATGTTTGACTGTCACCACTGAGGAGAAACAGGGTGAACTACTCAGACCTAATAAGTACAGGTCAGGGATCCTGCTAATCTTAGAGCACACAGGACGGCCTCCCCCGGCAAAGAATGATCCAGCTCAAAGTGTCATGCGTGCCGCTGCTGAGACACTTTGACTGAGTCAACCCCCAGGAGACAGCAGGACTACAGGACTTCAAGAATAACTTGCAGTTCCTCATCCCAAGGTAACCATCTCTTCCCTGTAACACTACTTCTGCCCTTACAGACTTCGCAGATACAAACTAAAATTCACGCTGGAAGGTGGGGGACAGAGAGCATCCACAGGGACAGGGGAAGGGAAGCAGGAAGCTTTCTTCCAACAGTTTAGCTTCAAAGCTTTAGTGCTTACTGGCTAGACAGAAGCACAGCTAACTATTATTGGTTTTGGCATTCAAATCAGACGACCAAAGATTCAAACATTTCTAAACGAAGACACACAGATCAGCACCAGCCTCCAGGCGTGTGAGAAAAGTACATTTAATAATGCAAAAGAAATAGGTCAACCAGAGGTAGTATGGGACATTACAACTTTCATTTTTGTTGATTTTATTTTCAACTAAAACAGCCCCAACACTATTTCTTCGTGCTTCCACAGTACAGTGCCATTAGAGACCTTATGATTCCACTTTAGTCACTGGTGGACATGAAGACTGATTTTCAAATTATTGCCTTACTAGTAGGACATCAACCAATAGAGCATGTGTCTGGCATATAGCACATATACAACCACTATTTTCTGAATGAATGAATGAGACACAGGACATAAACTAGCCCTGCCATTCTACTTTCAGAATATGGAATAAAGACCTGAGAAGTTTATAGATCAAAACTACCACTGAATTTTCAATACATTTAATAATATTAAGGAATGACGGCTTAGAGAGGAATTAGGGAAAGTCTTACTACTTAATCCTGTTTCCTAAAGCAAAACAATCCATCCATCTCCATCAGTCAAGCTGGGAGCCGTGCCCACCACCATTCATTCCCATCTCGCTTGCCCCGCGCCCTGGTGACACCTCACTGGTCTTCTCTCTCGCCACCTTTCTTCTCACCACAACGGAACAGAACAGCAATCATGGATTAAACCACTGCCCCTACTATGCTCAGCATTTTTAATATACATACATAAAATATGCCTTTGAACATAACACTCGGCCTGGCCAGGCCCAACAGCTCCACCCTCCAGTAACGTGTTTCTGTTCTGTCCACTAAGAATGAACCTTATTTTAGGACACTACACAGACAAGAAAGGGTATCATCAGCTGATATTAGCCTTTGGTCATCCTCTCCTTTAACTTAAAAAAGAAGCCCATTAAAGAGCTGGGGAATCAAGAAAATGAGAGCCGAGAAGAGGCTGCAGGCGAGTTGAGTCCAAGAGCCTGAGGCCAGCCTGGGCAACAGAGCAGGACCCCATTTCAAAACAAACTCGCCCCCGGCCCTCTTCCCGTTTCCGGTCAACTCCGATCCTGGAGGCCTTGGGGTTGCTTCCTCCCTGCACTTGCCACTGCTGCACTCTCTAGATTGACACAACTCATGCATTCACTCCAAGTTTCCCTCAGATGTCAGTGTCACCTCTTCAAAGAGCCCTTGCCAGGCACTCTGTGTAAATGAGCTATGTATGCCCTTTATGGAGAAGAGAATGACAAAAATCTGATTCCAGGGCTGCTTGTCAAAGAGATTACTCTAGAAATGACAATCTGTGGTGCAAAGAGAAGCAATGTTTTCAGTGAGCTTAAGGATGCTGTGAGTAACTGAAAGATGTCACTTTCATAACAGACCAAGTTTTAAACATCAAAAGGACAGCTTTTGAGATTTTCACTGCCACAGAATACTCTAAAAAACTATCCAGCTTACTAGTTCCAGAATCTAAAGGAGTAACTCAAACCAAAATCCTCGGTGGGACAATGTACCAAATAGGGATTAGCTGGAAGTTTTGGCTTCTAGGAAGGCTGGGTAAGCTCTGAAGGACTCGATCCTCCTACCCATGACAACTGTACACTGCACAAACCACAACTTCCTGGAGAACAGAGTGAACAGAAAGCACACTGCTGCCCCAGGGAGTTACTGTCCCTCTGACGCTGAGAGCAGAAGGCAGTCAGCATCCCATCCCCAAGGACAGCTGGAACTCTCAGACAAAACCCACAGCCGTCTGGCCTGGACCAAAGAGTCTGAAGCAAACACTGCCTGTGTAAACGGGAGGAAACTCCACACAGGACAGCGGCAGAGATGGGAAGCGCCACGCACTGTATAAGCTGGCGTGGCCGTGGCCCCCCTGCTATACAGCATGCACGCTTGGCACAGGCTGTAGGCTGACCGGCAAAATATAAAAGTAGTAAGCAGCACCAAATTAACTGCCTGCTGAAACATTTTTCAGAATAAAAATCAAGGAAAACCATGCCAAGGCACATCATAGTCATACTGCTGAAACCCAAACAAAAAAAAAAATGCTGAAAGCAGCCAGAGAAAAAGCACACATTACAAATAGGGAAAGAAAACTCTGAAAAGCCCGACCTAACACCAGAAACAGTGAAATGGCTTTAAGGTACCATGAAAGTGTGGTTCCCAACCCAGTGGGGAAACGTTCCAAAACAGGACAGCAAAGCCCTTGGCACAGTAATACTCTCCATCAGACTTCTTCTACAAATCTTTGCAGCTATGTGGTTATGCTCCAGGAGCTAAGGCACCTGACTCCACAGCTTACAGGGTATGCAGGGAACAGGCAGAGAGCAGCCTGCCACTATCATACCTCTTTTCAGCAGTCCCGCACCATTCAGATGAGAGCCGCACTCCTCACCTCTCTGCAGGTCCTGTCTCCCTGCCCAGCCACTACTCCATCTGAGCTGAAAATCTCTTTACGCAGAGCATGTGGAACCGGAGTATCCAAGGGTGGTGGCAGAAAGATCACCTTTGTTCTAAGCCAGAACCCTTTGCCATGTAAGTAATTATTAGAAAAGAACGAGGAACTTTTAATACCTAGGTCCTATCAGGTACCCCTAAGGAAATTCTTTTCCATTTAAATAACTAGAGTTCAACAGATTTCACAGCCCACAAACACCAAGCATTTATTTCTACTACTTAATCTGAAAACTGAGGATAAGAGAGGTACAAATTGTCCTGCATTTTCTGAAATGACATAAAGGTTCCCAGGTTGGCTCAATTAGCCAGTAGGCTTACTTGAAATCTTTTTCCCTGAAGGATGTAATCTGCCACACTGCCTGGGAACCAATTGCTGCTAATTTTACATAGACCTGCTAACCATAACATAATGAACAGGCCATGCCCACACGAAGATGGAAAAACTACCTTGAGAAGCATCGTACTGCCTGCTGTCTTCCTATAGGCAAGAGAGCTACCAGTCTCACTATCCCTGGTGCCTGGCTATACCCAGAATGTCAGCAATTTCAAGTGCTGCCCAAAACATTTGCCTCTCTTAAATCAAAAGCACAGTAAAAATATTTAAAGAACAGAGTATGATTCTCTGGCTTGAAATTGTTTAAAAGAAAGATTCCTATTATGAAGTTTTTTAGAACAGCCCATTTGGAAAGTTTCTGGCATTTCCAACTAGGTATTGTACTGTTGCAGTAGGCTGCCATGTAATCAAAGAGGCCTACTTATTTCCCATGAGAGTTAATGAAAGCATCTGTTCTAGCCAGTCCTCTCATGGATTTCAGTCATTGTTCTCAGGGTGGTGCCAGCTTTTCCATATTCCTACCGATCTTAAAGAAAACTCAGGAAAAACAAACCAAAGGCGGATCACTAGTCCACTACGTGAGCAGCACCTGCTTTTCACAGCATCAGTGCTTTATTCAATGGCACTTACAAAACTAACTGAGAACGGAAATAAATGAAATATTGGTGAAAATGAAATTTGGAGAAGTCTACTTACAGAATTTTTATTAAAACAGAAGATAAACTCTGGGATTAAAAAATTTTAGAATAGTCTTTGAACAGCCTCAGATTATCAATTAAATTAAATAATTAAAAGTTTGATTGTAGTTAGGAAAAAATGTTTGAAAAAGACCACTAAGAACCTCGTGCAGGAGAAAATAAGCAGTGACAAGTATGGAGCAAAGGGAAGTTATGGAGAGGATTAGGGGGTCCGTTAAAGCTACCCAGAACGTACATAAGGCTTTCATCTTCTTTGACTTTTTTTTTTGGTACCGGAAATCAAACTCAGGACTTTGCACGTGCCGGGCAGGTGCTGTGCCACTGAGCTGTATCCCCAGCCCCATCTTCTTTAATTTTAAGGGTGAAGAAGGAAGCAAATAATCACTGACTACCCTTTCAGTAGCTTTATGTATTACATTAGATTTTCTCTTTAGCCCTGAGGTCAAAGAAGCGAATCAACTTATTAAAGCTCACAAAATGACTACTTATTCCCAGGTCTGTATCACTTTAAAACTCAGGCTTTTTCTATTACTACATGCTACTGCATCGAAAATACTTCAAATCAATCAGTTCTCCAATGAAATATTTTTTTAAAAAAACTTGTTTCAACTTTTTTTTTCCGGCTTTTCCTTAAAAACACTAATTTTCTTGAGCAAGATTCTAGTAACACATGGCCCATTAGATCTTTCTTTGTAACCTTTTCCTGGAAAATAGCTTTATTTCAGAATAAGCAGGTTGACAGTTTGCTTAAGATCAGCTCAAGGCCTCATATTTAAGAGATGGATTGCACTTCTAGATTGCCAAGTTTAACTTAAATCCCTCAGAAATACAGCCTATCCTGTATATTTAGCCACTGTTTGTCCTGTAAAATACATCATTTAAACCTAAGAGATAGAGTAAAGAAAGAGAAAGAACCTGCAACACATTCTAAAAAAGGTTTAGGATCTTCAATTCCAAATATCAAACTCGACTTCCAGGAGGCTTCTACAGGAACCCGGGAAACGACAGTCTCCTTCCCCACTCCTTTGGGACTGATTACAACTGCAGTTTCTGGAATTAGACACAGTAAAGCTCACCTCTTCCATGACTCATGATGGCCTTGAGCAAATTAATTAACTTCTCTAAGCCTTGGTTCCCACAGATATAGAATGAAAACTGCTAATGACACACATCACATTTACTAAGTATTGTACCCGGGTCCTACATTCTCCCTAAATGTGAGTTTCTTCATCACTGTTAAACTCATCGGCTTGGAGGAAGTCTATGAGACAACTGATGGGGTTTATAAACCTTCACGGGACCAGTACCAATTTCAGCTGTCAGGGACTTAGGAGATTTGGGAAGTGAGTAGCAGCAATAGAAATGGCAAGATCTGGAAAAGCAGCAGGCAGAAACTTGAGAAGGAAAGGAATGTATGCAGGTTTAAAAACACAGGTGTGTGTATGTTCCTGTCTACTAAAAATTAGGACACCTGAAGTAAAGAAAAGGCATTAGAAGCGAAATACCATTTCATGCAGGAAAACAAAATGCCTATTTTCCCATTACCATGATGGGGACTCCAATGTCAGGCCACAGAAGGTCCTCCGAGGGCAGCTTGGGGGAATTCCACACCACTACCACCTTGTTTAGGTAGGGGAGGCCGTTCAGTCTCTCTAAAGAGTTCATGAGCACTTCCTCCCTCTCGTAAGTCAGCATCACCACCGTGAACTGCTCTCTGGGCACGTTGCCTCCAAGCGCTGCCTGAAACTCCTTGCCAGACCCCCCAGCTCCGCCACCGATAGGCCGAAATCCAGTCCCTGAGCCCAAGAACTTGGCCTCTGAGGGCAACACAGGGTCAAAGGGTGTGTGGGGAAAAAGATGGAAAGGCCCGGGAGCAGAGTTCCAGCTGCGGTAGAAGTCAGTGACAGTGAGTGTGAAGTTGCGGAGGTATTTGGGTGAGGCGTAGGGCGGCTCTGTCTCTACCGGGCCCAGGTCCAGGTCCCCATTGTCAGCCATGTTGGGGTCAGTTCCAGCAGCCTTGCCTGAACGATGGGGAATCTCAGCTGCTACCTCTTCCCGTATGGGAGCAGCTGGGATCTGTATGCGAGTCCTAATCATAGCCAGCATGGTATTAAAAATACTGTCAGTGGTGGAAAAGTAAGTCTCCCAGAGAAAGCGGCCTTGCCGCCTCATGGCCAGAAGATCACTGTCAGACAGACTCCGTAACAAGAAGTGAACCTCGGTAACACGCGGCTTGGGCACCACCAGGGCCGCCTCATTCCACTGCAGCATGTCCTGGTATGGAAGCTGCACCTGCTCCCCCAGCACAACCGGGACAGCGCCAACCTCCAGGGCTTCAAAGAGCCGTGTGGCACACCCAGATGACATAACCAGGTGGGGATCCCCAGGAGTGATGATGAGGGCAAAGGTGGAAAGCTTCAGCAATTCTAGGCGGTCCTCCCGCTCCCCACACAGCGCCCACTCGGTAGGCAGACTCCGCTTTGGCTGGTTTTTGCAGGTAAATTCTACCAAGACCTGATCCAGCTTGCTGTCCTGTACCGCCTTGAGGGTGGCAATGATCCGATCATCATAGTCAGCAGGGGGGTCACCCTCCATTTCTTCTTCAAAGGAGCGGGCCTCCTGAAGGCTGGATCTCAAGGATTCAATCTTCTCACCCTGGAAGGTGAAGAGATACTTCCGCTTCACTGGCACCTGTGGCGGGATTTCCATGAAGTTGGGTTCTGACATGGCATGGACTAGGGGAGAGACTACCAAGTCAAAGCCAGCCCTGAACTGGGCAGCATAGAAAGTGGACTGGGCCACCATGGCACGGCCTGTACTGACATTGTACAGTAAATTCTGGGTGTCTGACTTCCGGGACAGATTGATGATGACGTGGTTGTGTCCATCTGTCCGCCAGTGTGGTAGAGAATGCAACTGCTTCTCAAGGTCAGCAGGCCGCAGCACTACTGGCTCCTGCATTTCTCCCACTAAAATCACATACAGGCAAGCAATGTCTGCATTCTCTGTAACATAGATGTTGGTGCGTGTGGTTGCCTGAAAAGCCTGCTTGACCAAGGGGTCTAAGTAGCTGCCAAAAGCAAACTGATCACTGTCATAAACATACACTGGAAAACCAGAAGTAAGAGGACAACGAGAATAATCGAAACAATTATGCAACCGGCAACCCCATGTGGCCTTTGGAGGAGGAAGACCAGCATCGTCCTTCTCAGGGAGCAATCGGATTGGCAGAGAGAGTTTGGGCTGATTCTGGGCCATCAGCTCTTTGTAAGAGTGCTCCGTCTGACTGATGACATTCTTGAGCTGCAGCAAGTCCTGCTTGGCATTCTCAATGCTTTTCTTACAGGCTTCGATCTTCAGGTTCAGCCTGGCGATCTCACTGTTGAGCTCCTGCCTCTTCGCTTCCAGCTGTAAGAGTTCCTCGCTCACAGACTCACGAATGCGGCAGAGATCCAGCACATGTTTTACCTCGCACAGCTCACTGCCAGCCCGGGGGCCAAAAATCCGCTTGCCTGCCTCATCTGCCTCATCCAGAGTGGTGAGATAATAGTGAGCAATCAGGGGAAAGAAAACCAGGATGATAAAAAGCGTAAAACTGAGCCATGTAAGCCGGATGCGGTTGGACCAGCGTAACATACAGGTTTGACCTCCATTCCCCACACCCCCACTCCGCAACATGGCATAGCCCGTCATGAGTTCTCTGTGGCTCTTGCCCTCTCTGATCACGTCGGATCACTCGCCATCACCATGAGTTGTGATTCAGCGAAGTTCCACCTCTTCACTCAGATGTTTCCAGAAGAGTTAGTGTGCTCCCTGTACAAGGCACCAAGTAAAATGGAAATTTCATTTTCCTTAGCTGTGACTGAAACAGTCTCTGACCCTATTCTGGTAGATTTTAAGCTCCGCTTGTTGACCAAAGAACATGTCCTTAATCTTCATCAAACAAAAGGCGCCACACTGTTGCTGACAGGAAAGGGAGGAGGTCCCTGATGATGAAACCCAGGAAAAATACCTTGGAACCACACAGACCATTTCAACTGCCATAGCTCTTGTTCTTTGGCTCTGCTGACCCACAAATATGCATAGTTTCTATTCACATACAGTAAATTTTGAGTGTCTGACTCCGGGACAGATTATACAGTAGTTGGTTAGAACAGCTGTGGTTAAAAATGCCAGCCTCTTATCAATGTCATTGCCAACACTCAGGCCTGCAAAAGAAAGAAAAGTATGTCAGTTTTGAAAAGATTCTGTTCAATAACGACACCCTTTTGTACAGTTAGAGAAAATGCTTAAATCTAAAGTGGAACAGTGATTGGAACTGATGTGTGTCTCAAAGAACCCTCTTAAATCCAAAGTAGAGATTATGTGTGGTGTGGGCATACTACTTGTGGTTAGTAAGAAAGGGATACACGTCCCTGAAGAGCTTCAGTCTGCACACCTCCACCCAGCCTCTTCCTGTATCACAAGATCAAGAACGGTGTAAGGACTCTATGCAGTGATGTCTACTAAAATCAACAGTGGCGAAGATGTCTGCAAAACCAATTTGTCACCTGAGACCTGGGCATCATCCTCAGATGCAGAGAAACACTCTCCTAGCCAACCTTGGTGGGTACATTCACTGCGAACATGACAGTTCCCTTCTGATCTTAGATAAAGAAAAAGACTTTGAAAAGCTCAATTTAGACTGCAAAAGAGTTAAAGAGAATGTTTTTGCTCTTCACCCAGTAGCAGGCACAGGAATCTGGAGACAAAAGGTATTTCCCAGTTGGCTTTTATTTATCTTCCATTAGCAGACATCAAGTCCTCCTTCTTAAAACAGAAATAGTAACTTGGTCTTTCAGAAGAGCACTATATTTAGGAATGAGAGGATTACTTCGTATCCTTCAGGGTCACACTTGCTACCAGACCTCATTTCTCCATGTCCTAAGCCTCTAAAATGGAGGTAAACGCATGGGGATAAGACAGTGTGCTGTAATGAAAATGAAGCGAGACGGGAAAGTACTTCAGGCTAGTTAATCATAAAATGACACTGCCAGTCTTGTGCGCTCACCAAACTTTATGATCATAGCTTTAAGAAGCATTCTATCTGCTTTCCCCTCAGGTCCAACATATCTAGAAATCAACCATAATATGCTGTGCAAAGAACATTTTCTATTTCTTTCATTCATTTCTTAAAGAAAAAAAATATTCACCACACTCTCGACATATCCAAGACATGCTACTGTCACTGTGGAAGAATCTAGAATGTGTAACAATCCTTGATCACAGAATTTCGTTTAGCCTAAGAGACACGCTATAAACAATCATCAAGAGTACCATGACAAGGTCGCGTGAAATAAGTACTCTCACAGAGGATCAACTACACTCTCCAGCTTCTACCTCTGTTCAAAATGCGTAACTACGAAAGATTGATTAGAGTCTTCTTTTTCTTTAAGTAACAACACCAAGTTGATAGCAGTGTTACTGAAAGGCATAAGCACAGCAAGTGATAAGATGACAAAGACAACACAAAAACTTACCCTGGAAAAGACTGTTTGGATTATGTAAACTTGGATAATTAATGGCCTGGCAAGCATCCCAAAGAACACAGGGAGGTCAGTATTTATAAAGCATCCCATTATCCTTTTGATTCAAGTGTTTAAATCTCTCTTTTGGGAAAGGAAAAAAGGGAAAAGTAAAAAAAAAAAAAAAAAAAAAAGAAAAAAGGAAACATGGAAATAAAGCTTTGTAAATGAGGAGAGGACGGGTTGAGAGGAGGGGTTGAGAAGAGGGCTTGGGAGGAGGGGTTGACGGGAGGGTCGAGGAATGGCGAAAAAAGCAAGTTATATTAGGTGCAAGTACAAATTCTCTATGATGAATGTAATCATTATGTGTTTCTAAAATGTACCAATAAAATCTAATTTGAAAAATAAATAAATCTCTCTTTCACAGCTGCACTCATGCTCAAATCATAACAAAGAAGAATGGAAAAGAAGAAAGCAAAGAAGATAAAATCAAGGCAATACAGTAATTCCTCCCTTTCTTACCCTATGTGCCAGGATCCTTCCTTCCTCTGGCTTATGGAGCATCGTACTTCCACATAAGATTTCTTGAAATAGTGAACATCAGTGTCTGCCCTCCTGATTTGAAAACAGAAAAGTGATATACCATTAGAAAAATACTCAATACTGGAGGTACTATTAAAGAATTTCCTTACTATCCCTCTGAAAAGATTTCCCTATGCATATATATGGCAGCATTACAGTTTATTCCAGAGATGCCAATAAAACACCCTAGCACAACAGGTGTAAAGAGGGGCCTTCACAGGCAAACTACCTAGGTATATGATAACTACCATGTGCTCGAGAAGGGAACAAGACAAAATACTAAACTGTGGGACATCCTTACCTTCGGTAAGTATATACCTGGCTATTGAGGGGCAAGATGATAAACCTGGATGAAGGTGGTGAGGAGTAGCTACAGCAATAGATGGACCAACTCCAGCTACGAGCTCACTGCCATTCATTTAAAATGACAGGTACACACGGAGGTTTATAACAGTATGTGCTCTGCTTCTGATTGTGTTTGGAATTCTTCATACCAAAAACTCAAAAAAATTACATAATTTAAACAAATGTTTTTAAAAAGTCATCTGGAGACTATTTAATATTTCTGGTGCTACCAATTTATATGCAGAGCTGAGTGTGAACAAATGATCAACGGAAACCAATAATTCAACAATGACTCAAAAGCCTGTATCCCTATTAAGTTCCATCCCTTTTACTGGAACAAGGCAAAAGTGTCATCAATGTCTAATGGCCTTAACTTGCCTTCTTAAATGGCTAATTAAATTATTTCAAGCACAAAACAAAAAGAACCCTGAGAATCTCTCCTGACATTCCCTGGGAAACAACAATGAGGTACTAGGATCTAGGAATACATGTCACTGCAACGCTGGTAAGGGACAATCTCTAGAGACATTTGTCTTTTTGAGACAGGGTCTCATTATGTGGTCCAGGCTGATCTCGAACTCACAGCAATCCTCCTGCCTCAGTCTCCCATGTACTGGGATTACAGGTATACACCACCAGGTCCAGCTTCGAGAGACATTTGGTCTGACACAGTATATGTATCTTACTAATTCTCAGTCACCTCTGCACTTAATGCTACTTTAGCAGCTGACTTCCATTCCTGTCCTTACAAGGCACACTACACACAGCAAACACCACCCTCTCCAAATATGAACTGGACCTGCCTCTTCCCTCCTCACACATCTTCAATGGCTTCTCATCACACTGTCAGGCCCTTCCTGACCAGACTCACCATGTCCAATCTCACTTGCCATCGCTGTCTGCCTTGCCCACTCAGCTGGAGCTAGGCTGGCCTTGTTGCAACTTCTCAGCAGCACCAAGCTCTGTATAGCCTCGGAATCTTTGTACCTGCTGCTCTTTTTATGTACAATACTCACTCACTTCTAGCCCTGCTTTTTCCTGGTAATTCTTATCCTTCAGGTCAATTTTCTTGACGTTTTCATTTTAAAGCACTTTTCTTGTTCCCTGATGCTTTCTAGCATTAACCTATTGATTTCCTTCATAATATCTTCGTGCATTAATCCATTACTGCCTTCCCCACCAAAACCTACTTCATGAGGGCAGGAACTTTGTCAGCTCCAACCCCTGCTACCTCACCACCAGCACCCTGCACAGAGTCCAGACATTCTCAGTTTATTAAATAAATGAATTCTGCATGTGTTGCTGATCACTTTCTCATTCTACAAAGTCTCCGCTCGCCTCATGGTTTCCATGTTCTGTTTGTGTGTTTGGTGTTCCACCCACCCCCTCTCTGGCTCATGTTCCCCGGCTGCTTGGGGTCACTTCCTCCCACAAGGCCCTCACACTATCTGTAAACCAACGCATCCACTTTAAAGACTTCAGCCATCACCTGTCAACCCCCACACCCCCAGGTCCAACTTCAAGTCTTGCCCTTCTGCTTTGACCTTTTTTATTTTGAAGGTGGTGCTGGGGATTAAGCCGGAGACCTCAGGCCTGCTAGGTAAGTGCTCTACCCAGCTATATCCCCAGCCCAGTTTGTCTTTTATCAGTAAAAAGGTAATACCTATGTTCAGGATTGTTATAAAAATTAGCGATAATAACACACTGCACGGGAGGCACAAAGGAGGTTATATATTAGCTACAAGCCTTGGAGCTATTTTTAATTCCTTTAACTTCTCATATCCACATCTAAACTCCTAATTTTTGCCAATTCATATTTTAAACAATCACAATATATTTTTAATAGTAACATATGACTTATCCCTTTCTTTTATTCAACTACCTTCACTTTAGTCTTGACCCCTAAATCACAATGCCAAATCTTACACTCTCCAATAATTTGTCCTTTGTATTACTCTAAATCAGTTACTTTCTCTTATTTAATAGTGCTTCAGCTTGAATAATTTCAGTTGATCTGTCTTTGAGCTCTACAATCCACTCTTCAGTCTATTAATTTCACCAAATAAATTCTTAATTTCAGGTACGATTTTTTTTTTTACATTTACAATGTACATTGTGCTCTTTTTGAGATACTCCATTTTATGCAAGAATTTCTCATCTATTCTTTTTCTTTTCTTCCCTATCTTTCCACTTTCTGTCGTTTTTGGACACAAGGTCTTACCATGTCACTAAATTGCCCAAGGTGGGCTCCAACTTGAGATACTCCTGCATCAGCCTCTCAGAGTACTGGGATTACAGGCTTACAGGCATGAGTCTCCATTCCCAGCTTTCTTCTATTTTCTTTTGTTTATCTGTAAGAATTAAATTCGTTATCTGCTAATTCCAATAACTGGACCACCTGTGGAGGTGACACAGCTAAAAGGAACATTGGCCAGAGCCAGCACTCTGCTGTTTGGACTTTCAAACTCCAAAAAATGTGAGCTAAATAAATCTCTTTAAACACTACACAGCTACAAACACTTCATTACAGTAACACAAAGCAGACTAATACAGTGGAGTAAGGAATCTAGGGACGACAATGTATACAGGAGGGCATGTGTAGACAAGTGCAAACACTACACCATTTTAATACAAACAGCCTACAGGTCTGCAGACTTTAGCACCCACAGGACAGCCTGGACCCAGTTCCTCTCTGAGGGACCTTTAGAGCTTACCCTTAAAGTGTAACATGCATTCACCCATCATTAATCAGGTAGAAAGTTTAGTATTTCTAGTATTTCTGCTCTCTGCTAATTAATAAACAATTCTTAGGACATTACCTACAACAACTTGTACCAAGTTATGTGTCATCACTAATACTGTAGCCCTACTTCATTTCTATCCTTTCCATATGTTCTCAATAGCAGAACCCATGTCTGTTTAGATTTCACCCACACACTGACCAACTTTCTTGCTTATTAGTCCAGCCAGTGAGGAATGATTGCACACTAAGTTGTCCATGAAGACTTAGCTGGTATTTAATGCTAGCTCTTCCTTTTCCACCAGCACTTTGGAAAACCTCTGGATTTCTTTATTGCCATGGAAAGGTGAGACAGCTCCAACTGTATCTTGGGGGCAATCTGACTTTTCATTCTAGTTGCTTTAAATATCTTTTTGTCTTAGGAGTCCTGCAAAGCATCAACTTACAAAATTTTGTGGGGTTTTGTTTGGTTTTGGTTTTGGTTTTGGCTCCGGATTCTTTAACTTTCTGAATCTTAGTGTAACTCCAGCACTGTGAGAGGCTGAGGCATGATGGATGGTAAGTTTGTGTCACCCGGCCTGGACAACTTACTGAGACTTTGTCTGAAAATTTAAAAATGGGTTGGGGAAACAGCTCAGTGCAAAAGCCCTGGTTGAATCCCCAGTATAACAAATAAATAAAATCTCTATGCCCTTTGTACTATCTTCTAAAAATTTCCTCACATCTAATTTAGAGCTGGGATTTTTTTTGGTAAAGGACCAGACAGTTAATATTCTAGGCTTTTGGGGTCACATACAATCTCTATAGCATATTTTGTCTGTTCTTTTTAAACAACTCTTTAAAAATGTAAAGAACATTCTTACCTTGTAGGCTACTAAGAAAATATGCCATTACCCAGATTAGGCCCACAGGCCAAACTCCTCATCTAGCTCATTAATTAATTCTCTTTTCTAAGTAGACGATACTATTCATCCTACCTGCGGGGTTCTAATTTCAATAATTACATTTCCAGAAGTTCTACTGACTTAAAAAACTGGCATTATGTTTACAACAACACCTTGTCCTTTCTCATGTTTTCCATTCCTTCTCTTCATGGGTTTACTTTGCTGTCTTATGGACAGATAAGTAGATTGTTTCCTCTTAGCTTTGTAATTTTGTACCGAGTTCATCTTTGGGTGCTTTATTTCTGGGAAATATACGTGCTCTGGATTCAGAACGCGTCCCAGTGGCACAGTTTTTGTTTGACAGAGACCTCTACCATCCCATCAGCCTTAGACTATTTTTATGTCAATTTCTCCATCTGGAGACTCACCATATCACACAAGTATCATAGATGTTAACCCAAAATCCACATGACAGGGACCCATGGTCCTGAGTTCTCGTGGGTATCTCCTCCCTCACCAACCCAGGGTCCAGGATAAGACAGCCATCTTTATGTGCGGGCATAGTTTTTGTAGCCCATCTGTGTGCTAAACATTCAGCCTTTTAAAGATTCAAATCTTTCCTGGTATCTCGATTCTAATGCTCACAGACCCAAGGTCTTTACCTCGTCTCTGAAAAACTTAAAGCATGAGTTACTAAAACTAAAGAAAAGCACAAGTTACTAAAGCACTGTAGCATCCAACTGCTCACCAGATGTTTTGCTCTTCAACTCCAACTTTCACCCACCCTCTGCTTTATTTTAATAAGGATTTACCTTTCTTTCAGGAGAGCGCAATATGCATTGTGAAGCTGGTGGGTTATACTTATCTGCTATTGTGCCAAAAGCAGAGCTTCCTCTCTTTTTTCTATTCATATATACTTACAAAAATGGGACACCATATGTTCTTTTTCGTAAGCTGCTTTTTTCTCTTACATCGCAGTCTACTGCCCCACATCATTAGCATCCCACTGCATGATGATTAATAGCTGAACATCCTCTCATAATACAGAAAGACCTATTTATTTAACCTATCCTCTTCATTAGACATTTAAATTGTTTCCAATTTTGCATTATTATAATCAATAGTCCTGTAACTGTCTTTGCATACATCCACAGAATATTTTAATGTGAAGTTGCTGGGTCAGGGGAGGATTGCTAAAATTTCTTAAGTTACTGTCTACTAGGAAGATAATATATCCTCCCAGCAGCAATACAGATCACATGACCAATAGCTTACCAATACTGACGTGACAGCAATAGTCGTTACTCACCAAGTATTTACTTGCTCCACTACACTTCCTATTCTGTCTTACAGTTTGGCTGGACCAATTCTTGCCGAAGGGAAGAGACAAGAAGCAGTGTGTCATGCACAGTGGTAAGAGGCAGTTACGAACAAGTATGGACTCTCTCCCTCCTCCCACCTGAGATACTGAAAGCATCTACTCCAAAAACATGAAGGGGCAAGTTAGAAGCTCCCCAGACCCTGTCACGACTGGAGGAAAGTCGCTGAAGAAAGCCACATGACCCACATCAGACCTTCACGGAACCATAAACTTCTGTTACACTAAGGCACTGCGATTTCAGTCTACAGCTGCAGTTATGCAATAAACTAATCAATCAAACTGAATGTCATTTTTTCCCTTAAATCTGACAATTTAGTAGGTAAAATGTCATCCTAATATTCTCTTCTTCTTTATTTCTGGAGATCAAAAAAAATTTTTTTTCAGTGTCTGTATTCCTCTGCCCAAGTACTGCAGCCCATTTGTTTTGCCAACTGTTCTATTTTTAAAACTGCCTTTTCACCATGCTGGTCATCTCACACTACCACTCTTCCACCTCACTTTCAAGATTCCATCAGCCAAGGGTTGCTCTACCTCCTTGCCCTATTTAAGCTACTCCTCCCAGGGTCCAATCAGGACTCTCAGACACTTCCCCCTGTACTCCATGTAACCCGGAGGACTCAAAACCTTATCCACTGTTCACTAGTTTCATTTAAGTGATTCATTTCTCTCCAGCTGGATTCAAAACTCCTCACACAAAGAAACTTTTTCCCATAACTTTGAAATATCCTTATGAAGTATTACACAACAGCAGGTCATTGCTCAATAAATTATAGTAGTTCAAAGTCTTAGTTTGCATTTATCACCCCAAATCAAGTTTGAAACTTGGAGACTATCTGGTCTTAATTCAAGGCAAATAATACATTTAAAACAAAAGAGAATTTCGTAGCTAGGAAAAGGATCAAAGGCCATCGGCATTTGAAGCTAGACTGGCTGGCTCAGATCAACCATCAGAATTTAGGAATCTTACATAATCTCTCTGCATATCTCCTCCCTGTAAGTGATGTAGAAAATCCCTACCTACTGCTAGAGTTAGAATGGAGGTTAAATAAACTATTATAGATGAAGAAAATTTATAAGACACGCTAACCTACTGCTAAGAGGAAATTTTATGCATGAAATGCTTACATTAGAAAAGAAGAAAGCTGGGCGTGGTGGCGCATGCCTGTAATCCCAGCACTCAGGAGACTGAGGCAGGAAGATCACTGCAAGTTCAAGACCAGCCTGGGTGTTATGGTTTGTGTTTGGGTGTCCCCTGAAAGCCTCATGTGGTCATGGGGCAGGCTGTTAGGGTTAGATTGATTTTGGTTGTGAGAGCTACACCTGCCCTGGGGTGGATAGTCTGCATATGTAAGGGAGAGGAAGAGGCTGCTTGTGGCCATTCCTCCCTTTTAGTCCTTGTTGCTTTTGCTGTGTTCTGC